CTTGTAGATTTCGAGCTCTAGAATTCATTTCCGGTCTCGATTCTTTGATGACTGCAACCGTTTTTCCGGAATCGACCGTTGAAATATCGAAATTTTTAGAAATTGTTAAAAATCCGAATTTCGTACCGATTCTTTCGAAAATGTTCGTCCATGACCACCAACATGCTATATTTTTGGAATCAGCATGTCGAGATGTACGTCACTGAATTTTTTCGCAATTTTTAGACAACTTTTTTAAAACTGAAATTTTTCCAATGGTCCCCCCTTCTTCAAATTTCGACCAATTTTTGACATTTTCGAAACTTAACTAAATACATTTTCTTGTAGATTTCGAGCTCTAGAATTCATTTCCGGCCTCGATTCTTTGATGACTGCAACCGTTTTTTCGGAATCGACCGTTGAAATATCGAAATTTTTAGAAATTTTCAAAAATCCGCATTTCGTACCGATTCTTTCGAAAATGTTCGTCCGTGACCATCAACATGCTATATTTTTGGAATCAGCATGTCGAGATTTACGTCCCTGAATTTTTTCGCAATTTTAAGACAACTTTTTTAAAACTGAAATTTTTCCAATGGTCCCCCCTTCTTCAAATTTCGACCAATTTTTAACATTTTCGAAACTTAACTAAATACATTTTCTTGTAGATTTCGAGCTCTAGAACTCATTTCCGGCCTCGATTCTTTGATAACTGTAACCGTTTTTCCGGAATCGACCGTTGAAATATCGAAATTTTTAGAAATTGTTAAAAATCCGCATTTCGTACCGATTCTTTCGAAAATGTTCGTCCCTAACCATCAACATGCTATGTTTTTGGAATTAGCATGAGGAGATCTACGTCCCTGAATTTTTTCGCAATTTTCAGACGACTTTTTTGAACAGTGAAATTTCTCTAATGGCCCCCCCTTCTTCAAATTTCGTCAAATTTTTGACATTTTCGAAACTTAAGTAAATACATTTTCTTGTAAATTTCGAGCTCTAGAACTCATTTCCGGCCTCGATTCTTTGATGACTGTAACCGTTTTTCCGGAATCGACCGTTGAAATATCGAAATTTTTAGAAATTGTTAAAAATCCGCATTTCGTACCGATTCTTTCGAAAATGTTTGTCCGTGACCATCAACATGCTATATTTTTGGAATCAGCATGTCGAGATCTACGTCCTTGAATTTTTTCGCAATTTTTAGACGACTTTTTTGAACAGTGAAATTTTTCCAATGGTCCCCCCTTCTTCAAATTTCGGCCAATTTTTGACATTTTTGAAACTTAACTAAATACATTTTCTTGTAGATTTCGAGCTCTAGAACTCATTTCCGGCCTCGATTCTTTGATGGCTGTAACCGTTTTTCCGGAATCGACCGTTGAAATATCGAAATTTTTAGAAATTGTTAAAAATCCGCATTTCGTACCGATTCTTTCGAAAATGTTCGTCCGTGGCCATCAACATGCTATATTTTTGGAATCAGCATGTTGAGATCTACGTCCCGGAATTTTTTCGCAATTTTTAGACAACTTTTTTAAAACTGAAATTTTTCCAATGGTCCCCCCTTCTTCAAATTTCGACCAATTTTTGACATTTTCGAAACTTAACTAAATACATTTTCTTGTAGATTTCGAGCTCTAGAACTCATTTCCGGCCTCGATTCTTTGATAACTGTAACCGTTTTTCCGGAATCGACCGTTGAAATATCGAAATTTTTAGAAATTGTTAAAAATCCGCATTTCGTACCGATTCTTTCGAAAATGTTCGTCCCTAACTATCAACATGCTATGTTTTTGGAATTAGCATGAGGAGATCTACGTCCCTGAATTTTTTCGCAATTTTCAGACGACTTTTTTGAACAGTGAAATTTTTCTAATGGTCACCCCTTCTTCAAATTTCGTCAAATTTTTGACATTTTCGAAACTTAACTAAATACATTTTCTCGTAGATTTCGAGCTCTAGAACTCATTTCCGGCCTCGATTCTTTGATGACTGCAACCGTTTTTCCGGAATCGACCGTTGAAATATCGAAATTTTTTGAAATCTTCAAAAATTCGCATTTCGTACCGATTCTTTCGAAAATGTTTGTCCGTGACCATCAACATGCTATATTTTTGGAATCAGCATGTCGAGATCTACGTCCTTGAATTTTTTCGCAATTTTTAGACGACTTTTTTGAACAGTGAAATTTTTCCAATAGTCCCCCCTTCTTCAAATTTCGACCAATTTTTGACATTTTCGAAACTTAACCAAATACATTTTCTTGTAGATTTCGAGCTCTAGAACTCATTTCCGGCCTCGATTCTTTGATGACTGTAACCGTTTTTCCGGAATCGACCGTTGAAATATCGAAATTTTTAGAAATTGTTAAAAATCCGCATTTCGTACCGATTCTTTCGAAAATGTTTGTCCGTGACCATCAACATGCTATATTTTTGGAATCAGCATGTTGAGATCTACGTCCCTGAATTTTTTCACAATTTTTTGACAACTTTTTTAAAAGTGAATTTTTTTCAAATTTCACATGGAAAGTGTTATTAAATTTTATAAAATAACATACTGCTGCACTTGTATTATAAATCATAAAATACAAAAAAAAAATAGTAATAAGACACGATGGACGCACAAAATTGACTGTTCAAAACGCGTATCAAGAATTTTCCCATCGATTCTCGCAACTAGAACCGCTCAAAGCACTTCCTCATCGCATAATTCCACGACAATAATAATCAGATAAACAATAAGAGCATGACGGTTACCTGTTGAATGTAAGGAACTACCGGATTCACATCGGAAGAACAATGCGTAAGAAGAGGTGTCGCCAGCTGTTGTACGCGCTGAGCTTTGCGTCTCAAACCGCGTACTTCCGCCAGCAAAGCCTCATACTGCGACACCGGTAACGACATCACGCACCATCACCTGAAACAAAGGAACAAAGACAAATTTAAATACATTTATCCTAACACTTCTGCACAAAATCGCCCAGCGGTCGTTCAAAAACACCACTTGCGCTAAAACTTTTATCTCGGGAAATCAAACCGTTCCCACTAAACCACTGGAGCCTGGTGGCGGTCACAAAGTAGTTAGCGACTACAATGGATGTATTGTCTGGGTATTTACTTCTGAATTATGACTTTCCATTTAATCCCAGAGGTAAAAATTTTGTGGTCTGGACTGTGAATGGATTTCATGAAATCATCTCGAGGTAATTTAAAGGCGCACCTTAAAAAGTGTTTCAAAAAGGCAACGTGGGCTGCTGTGGAGCATAAACTGTGAAAATTAGACACTCGATTCTAGGTAATAATCTCGTTAATGGGATCTGTGTCGTTTTTTTTTGTAATTTGTAGATGATTAAAGTGAACAGGTTCTTAAAAGTAGCTGGATAATGTGTCGTATTAATTCTTGACGCTTAATGTGTATAACAGTTATTAGTTTTATCAGCGACCTGAATATGGTGATGGATCATTCCATTATTATGTGAGTACATCATTACGATGGTATCAAGAAAATTACTCAAGTGATTGAATTTATCAGAGAGGTTTATTATTGATATCAGCTAGCACAATTTTTCACATTTTTTTAAACTCTACATTGTAATAAGACAAATATGTATTTACAAACTCGAACTAGTGCCGGAGTTCTGCCTGGAAACAAACTCTGAGACACCTGCTATACGAAAACTCATTTACCCAAGCGAATTTCGTATGCATACGGTGGAGCAAATATCCGGCAAATGTGATATTTGATAAATATTTAGTGAAGTCTGCATATCCGACAAGTTTTACCTGAAACCTACATACGAATGTCTAACTACTTTTAAGCACAAAAAATTAAATTCTAAAACAACCAAGTGAGTTAGTGCCGGAAACTAAAACTGAAAAACGTAGAGTAAATGTGCTTAAACACGTCAACGATTTCTGAACAATACAAGATTTTTAGTTATATTACATGTCAACGTTATAATTAATTTTTATATATCCTATACTTTTTATTTTATGATCTTTCAAATGTTCACCTAAAAATAGATCGCCCCTAAAGTCAACGCTCTCGTAAAAATGTCTGCTGGAAAATCTTCCTTATTTGTATTTTAATCCACGTTTTTAGATTTTCTTTTGAGATTTGTTTCACACGAACATTTAAAATATTGTTTTGTGGTCACAGTAAATACCCAACAACAATACAATTTTTTGAACAAGTAGGTACTCTAATAGTCATTTTAACAAATGTCTGACTATATTTTCTTGAGGTTTCGCAGCTTGTAGAATACGAAAATGTTGGTTTAAATTAGTAATTTGCTTAACTAATGCATATAAATTAACTCTGTATTTATTTTTTATTTATTTATTTGTTATTGTTAGTTTTCAAATTTCTTGTTTAAGTGGTTTTCAATCTGTATAATCTCAAACCAATAGAACATCCATCAGTATCACAATACAAACAAAACCATTGTATGTGTATGTATTGCAAACAAAATATCAATAAGAATGGTTCTTTTAATAATTATGGTAACTTTAATTAAATCATTACAAATTGTAAAAACAAATATTACAGTAAAACTACCCAAATTGCAAAAATATAAATACGTCAGGCCTGAAAATATTGATTTTTCACCCTAGGTGTGCCACCCCGAATCTCATCAATCACCCCCAACCAAAAATTCTCAACCCAGTATAAACTTTGCCATTACACTTCCTGTTAAATTAACCTCACCGCAGCCCCAGAAAAGCCCTTTCACCCAAATTCTCATTTCGAAAAAAAATGTCACAAATGTCAGTCACAAATCTGACAGCAGGAAAAACAAAACAAAACATAGAGTTATCGCAAGGCCACCAACTCAAGCAAAACTACGTACAACTACTGCGAAACTTCGTTAAACTTACCATGATTAAAAAACAAATACAATTTTGTTAATAAGAAGCACGAAAATTTTAAAATTAGGTATACTAATCACGCACACCTACACCCGGCAGCGGGGGTGATCGAACTAGGGATTTAACGAAATAGTTGGTATCATTGACCTAGTGACTAGTGATTTCAGCGTAACCTCACTTTTTAGTAATGGAATTGTTCTAGAAGAAATTGGAAGAAAGTTTGTTTTGGTAGTAATGGCTATGTTTGGGCTCATTGTTTCGGGACGGATGGTCGGTAAACAATAATAATTATTTTTTTAATATTAACGCACCCTTGTGTAGGTTCAAACTGAATTCCAACCTATATCAGAAACCCAATTCGTTACAACCATCCCAGATGCCGATAATATTAATCACATCGTGGTTTTCTTGACGGGGGTTATACCATTTCCGGAAGGGACCGCAGGGCAAGGTTTGTTGTCCCCCTTGAACTTGCCCATTTTAATTTTTTTGTTCAGTGTATTTCAGCTGGCCTGACCCCGACGCCCCCCCAAACTGGCAGCCCTTGGGCCACATCTCCAACACCAAACCCTCTGCGATCTTCAAGATCTCGTCGCTAAAGAAACTCGAAGAAATGGGTAGTTCGATGAACATTTTGTTCGGACAGAGTGACATCGTCCACAACGCGCAAATCGGTATCGCGATCGAACCCATAACTAACATTCAACAAATAGTGCCGCTGAATAATCCAAGCAATAACGTGACTTTCGCGCACAAGATGTTGGAGAACTTTATGAATTACGTGTTAAGTTATACAGTTACGCAGCATCAAATGATGCCCGATCCTTCTGCCACCTATGTTCCGCTAGCCACCGTGCAGACTTGGTACACAAACTTCGAGAGACGGTTACGGCAAAATCCAAATTTTTGGAAGACGTAATTCAAGTGTGACTCTTGTAATGTGATCTCTTTGAGATTTTTTGGTTTGTGTTCATCAAAGCTGAAAGGTCTTGGCTGTAATTTGAACGGTTTTTTAATTGAGTGTGGTCTTGTAGTTTGTTTCATCTTATTTATCGGGCTTTTATGTAGGTTTTATATGAAACATATCTGGTTTTAACTATTTGCTTAGTACTTATTATGTGTATGATATTGTATGATTTGATTTTGTTTAAAGATCGCCTGAGAGTTTTGTAAATATTTTGAACAAAATATATTTTAATGACAAAATAAACAAGTTGGAAATTTGCATGGATTTTAACATTGGAAAAAAAAGTGACTCATTTTAAATGTGGTGGCACCTCATAACCCACACAGACTACTACATTTGACAGTTCCTGTATTTATATTGTTGTTCATGAAACGTACATAAAATACATCAATTCAGGTCGTGAAACATTCTGTATATTTTTTCTAGCATTACCCCTTGCACAAACTTGCGAACATTTTATTAACTCGTGGTGCAAATTACTCTCACCCGACTACTAAAAAAATAATTTTGACAAAAATTTGCCACTCCAAGAGTACCACTACTACCACTAGTTCTAACTCAGCATCTTATACATAACAGCGTGACCTTGCATCCCAGTAATAACACGTCTTCCTGGAATTAATTTTGTTAGTATTGTGGGAGCAATTTGCACCACAATAATTACATTTATTTAGTATTTTAATCGACCTCTTCGATAAAGTTGTGAGAAATTAAAGACTATTACCCGTCATGGATTAGCTAGATTATGACCAGGTTGGCATATTGTGGGATACTATTTCCGGATAGATGGCGCTCTGTTGTACAACTCACGTACTATAAAAGTGCCTGCTATCATAACAACCGTCGGGGAAGATTGGCAAAGCATACTTACCTGGCGTAGGGGTTACCGTGATCAACAAGGCGGTTCCCCCAGGGTGAGGCCCTTCCATTGCACTACGGTCGGGCTGACCCCTGCGATTATCCCTAATGCGGATAACTCGGGCGCACAATTTTTGGTAGTCGGGACTGCGTGCGCGCTATCCCGGCCTAATGTAATTAAAACATAGAATCGTTGTCACAATTACCCAGATATTTTACCCCGTTCTTATAGGTTAGTTATATAATATTTGTCCATAACATTATCCCATTTGTCCACACAATGTACATTACCCGTATTTTACCCAACACTTTTCCACAATCAATACAGTTTCAGCTGAATCATGGTGGTAATATTCATTCGTTGTAGCAACAGCAAGAATATCTTTTCTGTCATTTTTTAAAATAGCCGACATACAGAGTTTTAATGACAATTGTACTTAGCTAGTGAACCACACAATATTTATTTCTGAGAACAACTATTGATTTCAGGATATTTTGTGTCGTAGTTTAATATGCATTTTTTTTTAATAATTTAATGTACTCGAGTTTCTGAAAATTGCCAGTGAAGGCCAGATTGCAACATTTCGTTCTATAATACTACCTATTGAAATAAAGAGGGCGCTCTATTCTATGGTTCCCGTATAGTAAACGTACCTACTACCATAACTACCACAGAGGAAGGTTGCCAAAGCATACTTACCTGGCGTAGGGGTTACCGTGATCAACAAGGCGGTTCCCCCAAGATGAGGCCCTTCCATTGCACCACGGTCGGGCTGACCCTTGCGATTATCCCTAATGTGGATAACTCGGGCGCACAATTTTTGGTAGTCGGGACTGCGTACGCGCTATCCCGGTCTGATTTAATTAAAGCAGAATTGAACTTTTTGAGAACCGGATTAACATTGGTTTTTTTGCCCAAATAAGCACTTTTTTTTCAATGTTTTGTCTGTTAGAAACTTCTCTTATCCTCTTTACTTTCTATATTTCGAAAATTAACCAAGTAGTGCCAAGGTAATGTCACAAAACACAAACTTAATATCAATTGCAAAGGCCTCACAAGTAAATTTTAATCTTTTTGATTGAAAAAAACACCCTTGGAATACGAGCGCAGCGAGCACGTTCAGGTTCCCAGAGTCTCCCATAAACACAATTGTTTTTAAGATTCATTTTTTTGTAGACGATAAATTCATTTTTTTGAGAATATTTTAGCTTCTCAGGGAGACCAGTAAATAGTTTTTTAAACTACACCCGAACGTGCTCGCTGCGCTCGCATTTACAACGCCTTTTTTGGGCTTTATTGTCGTAGAGATGTAAAGGAAAGAATCTCGGCGAAATTGTTCAAATTGTGGTGTGAGAATAAATCTTTGGATTTAAAAAGTTATTTTACTTATCCTCTCCAAAAATTGATGACGTCATCTCAAAATTTTGCCGAATAAATTCTACCCAGACTGTGCAAAGAGAAAAGAAATGACAAAAGCAAGACTAAAAAGACGAAAAATAGAAGAAAACACAATAAAGGAAGTCGACAGAAAAATGAACGTAAAAAAAGTTGTTAAAAAAGAGCGGACAAAAAGGACTCAAAAAGTGACAACAAACGATAATAAGAAAACGTGGGCGAAAAACAACAAAAGAACACAACCAGAAAGGCGAAATAAAAAACAGAAAAATAACACAAAAACGCGGAAAAAAGAGGAAAAATGGGAAAAAATAAAAAACCAAATAAACAGATAAAGAGGAGATAAAAACCACAACAAAAGAGCAAAAAAAAGGTGGAAAAAAGCGATGAAAAAGGGTCAAAACAAAAGCGAAAAAGATCATAAAGATGAACTAAAACCACAAAAAGCCAACAAAAAAGACGAAAAGGCATGAGTGAAAAACGACAAAAATAGACGGCAAAAAAATAGTAACAAACGGAAAGGCGATAAAAAAGACAGGAAAATGACACAAAAACATGGAATGAAGGCAAAAAAGAATGAAAAGGAAAAAAAAAGACCAAGAAGGCAAAAAAGACCATTAAAAAGAAGCTAAAAACACGTCAAAAAGAGGGGGAAATGAAAAAAAACGAAACAAAGACGACAAAGAAGGGCGAAAAAAGACTACAAAGAAGGACAGAAAAGGTGATACAAAGGGAATCAAAAAGGATTTAACAAAAGGCAACAAAAATACCACAACACAAGGCAGAAAAATGACGATAAAAGGGAGATAAAAACACAACAAAAAAGCACAAAAAATTATGATACAAAAAGACGGAAAAAAGGTGATTAAAAGGGTTTCAAAATGCGAAAAGTTCATAAAAAACACAAAAAATGAAAGGGTGTGAATTAAAAACGATAAAAAAGACGGGAAAAATAGCAACAAAATAAAATGGAAAGGGCGGTAAAAGAGACAGGAAAACGCGTCCAAGAAAGGTGAAAAAAAGAGAGAAGGAAAAAAGGCGACAGAAAAAGGACAACATAAAAACAAGTAAAAATGGAGGCAAAAAATTACAAAAAATGCGAACGAAAAAAAGGTGTGTAACGAAAAAGAATGAAAAATTCAATAAAGCGAAAACGGCGAAAAATGGTGGAAAAAAGGTGATAATAAGAACTAATCAGACGACAAAAAAATGTGAATGAGAAATAACAAAAATGGGTGAGAAAAAAATTATACTCTAAAAAATTCGGCAAGAAATATGGGAAGGAAAAAAATTAGGGTGATGAAAAAGAGAAAAGAATGACAAAACACGACAAAAAAGACGAAAAATGGAGGAAAACAAGCAAAACAAGGAAGCCGATAGAAAAATTACGAAAAAAGTAAAAAAAGTGTTAAGAAAGAGGGGACAAAAAAGGACACTAAGAAAACGTCGGCGAAAGACAACAAAAAAACACGACTAGAAAAACGGAAAAAAAAGACGACAAAAAAGGGATAAAAGGGCACAAAAAAGGAATTAAAAAGGCAACAAAAAATGCAATAACAAAAGGCGATAAAAAAGATTATTAAAAAGAACAGGCCAAAAGCACGTCAAAAAAAGGAAAAAATGAAAAAAGGAAACAGACGATGGGTGAAAAAAGACTACAAAGAACGACAAAAAAGGTGATTCAAAAGGAATACAAAAGGATTTAACAAAAGGCAACTAAAAATGACACAACAGGAGGTGGAAAAATGATGATAAAAGGAGAAAAAAAACAACAAAAGAGCATAAAAAAGGGATAACAAAGGCGAAAGAGATTTTAAAAAAGAACAAAAAACGCGTCTAAGAAAGACAAAAAGATGAATGGAAATAAGCCGACAAAAAAAATTACATAAAAAGCAGTAAAAACGGAGACAAAAAGTAGACTAAAAAAATGAAAAAAAAAAAACAAAAAGGTGTTAAAAAGAAGACAAAAAATGACAACAGAAAAGAATAAAAAATTCGACAAAATCCAAAATTTTGAACTTTAAAAAACTAAAATCCCTAAAGCAAAAATCGGTAATAAAAACCACCCCATATCTTTTCAAATTTTATTTAACTTTAATTCTGCCACAACTTCAACACCTTATCTTTACCCCCCGACGCCACCCTCAACCCATCCGTAGACCAGTCCACAGCGTAAACCTCATCCCCATGCCCCGGCAAATCAAATTCCAGCTTCTTTGTCTTCAAATTCCACACTTTGAGCGTCGAATCGGCACTCCCGCTCACCATCAACCTGGAATCCGCCGAAAACGCAACCATGTAAACAGCCTGCACGTGCCCCCTCAGCGTACAAATAAACTTCCCGCTCTTCGCTTCCCACAACTTAACACTCTTATCGAAAGACGCCGACGCCAAAATTCGCCCATCTGGCGAAAACTTGACGTCGTTGACGAGCTGCTGGTGGCCCGTGAGCCGCGTTATGGGTTTCTTGTCTTTCTCGGGGTCCCACAGGTACAACGTGAAGTCGTCAGACCCTGAAACCAGACGCTCTCCAGTGGCGGCGATGACGTCCCGGTAGCGTTTCAGGGCGAAGTCTTGCGGTTTTTTCTTGTCGGTGGAGGTGTTGGAGTCGGCGACTGGGTCAAAAGCACCTATTTTAAGCACGTAGTCTGTGTTTAATGCGAGAGTGTTGACCCAATGGGCGTGCCCTTCTAAAGTCCTACACAACACTCCATCTTTAGCCCTCCATACTTTCACAGTTCTGTCTTGAGACGCACTGTATATGAGGCCTGAACCCCCCCACTTCACCACAGTCACACTTTTCAAGTGACCCGAAATGGTTAAAATGCAGTTGCATACAACTGTATCCCAAATTCTGACGTCTCCGTCTTTCGATGAACTTGCTAAGAGGCGACATTCAGTATTCTGATGGTATGGTTCCCAACTCAAAGACGTTATCCATTGTTTATGACCCACCATGGTTTTTCCCCGTTGTTTACCACTCTCGGGGTCCCAAATCATGACTCTTCCATCTTTGCAAGCTGATGCTAGTTTCTGGTTATCAGGCGACCACGAGATACACAGGACCCAATTTTTGTGACCTTTACATGTGTGGTAGGGGGTTTGGGTGTCCACATCCCAGAATCGGACCGTCGTGTCACCCGAACCACTGGCCAAGTGTTTACCATCGGGGCTAAAACTAACGGAAATGACTGCCTCTGCATGGCCCGGCATGGAACTGGTGCATCTAGTGACCGGGCGCACCCGAAAGACAGCTTGTTGTTGGTAAATAATATCGACCACATTTTCGGTATTGAGGGTTAAGGTTTTTAACGCCTTTTCTAGAGTGTGGGTGATTTCGGTGTCGTTAACGTAGAATAAGTACGGGATTTGGTCCTCTTGTTGTAGAATAGCGTTACAGATGAGCGTGAGTTGGTGGAGGTTGCAGTCGAGCGGGAGGTCCATCATGTCACCCGCGACTTCTCCGGATTCGGATTTGAAACGACACAAGAGGCGTTTCGGTTCGTTTTCATCTACATCTTCCATTTTATCACGTTGTTCACAATAATATAACCTCACTTTTTGGGACACGTGCTTTGACAATCTGTCAAGCGAAACGTCAATCACTTGGTCTGAAGTTGGCAAGGTTAAAGAAAAATTACAACAAACGAAGTCGTTGTTGGGGTTGCAAAGCACAAGAGAAAAGTGATTTGGGTAGACAGGAAAGACCCCCCTTTTTCTTTCTACGTTTGTTTTACGTTGTTTTTATAATTTGATTTGTTTTAATTTTATTTATTGCTATCTTCACGCGCCGTTTGACACGTTGCGCATGCGCCTTCCTCCTGTCACCTGTCAACATATGGTCAACATGGTCGCAGCTGTCAATTAGACACTTTGTATACCACATTGTTTTATTCAATTTTAAAGAAAACCACCAAATGCCAGCATGAATATCGAAATTGAGGAAAACATCAGGAAAAATGTACCCTGGTCGCAGTTGCCCGCACATATCAAACAGGTATTTAAAAATTAACACCCACTTGTTTACACCAGCTGACCTTGTTGCAGATTTTAAACAATTCGCTAAAAGACTACGAGCGATACGTGGTGTCTTTCAGTATTAAAAACCAGCTGCGCTACCGCGGGAATTTAGGTATGGCGTAAACACACGCGAATTGTTTGGAATAATAAAAATTATTGTAGTTCGACACATTGTTCGTGATGAGAAGCGCTATTATGAACGCGTGGTGGCCTACAGTAAAGAACGCTTAATGCTTTTCCCGTACCACTTAGCTGACATGATTGTCAAAGGACTGAGAATCACTCCCTTTAATTATTATATTTCCGTGGTGGAAAAGTTGATGCAGGCTGAGAAGAGTTATGACACACTTCCAAATTTTACAGCAGCTGATTGTGAGTTAATTGGTAGTGGTGAAGTGTTAATAGCGTCGTGTTTTAGGTTTGAGGTTGTTAGGGATTGGTAGGAATGAGTATATAGAGTTGATGAATAAATCAAGGTCGAATAGGGGGCGCTTGTTTGGTAAGAAGAATGTGCGAGGGCTGCTGCCGAGAGTACCGTGTGATATACATATTGAGCCGTGGTGGAGGGTCGAGGTGGGGCTGGTCTTAGAGGATGACGTTAAGGTAGTCACAAAAAAAATCACCACTGGTTTTAAAAATTACACACTTTCAGTCAGTAAATGAAGAAGAATTAGTGGTTATTGACCGATTAATTGACTTAGGATCGCAAACCGCGGGAGAACTGAACTACAACGTAGTCATAAGCCTTTACAAGTAATGTTTCTAGAATTCAAAAAAAACTGTGTTTAATTTAATTGTTATCTAGGAAAGGTTTGATCTACTTAGATGTCCCCATAACAGGTGTTGATTGTATACAAGTACCTCCTTTACAAGGTTTTGTTATGAATCGCATCCTAGGGGATTACTTTGAAACACTCCTTTATAAAATTTTCGTGTCAATTGATGAACACACAACAGTTGGAGAGGTACTAATTTTTATTTAATTGTCACACATCACCGCAATTTTTCTAGCTCGCTGGTGTTCTTCAAGTGGACACGGAATTAGTAAAACAAGCCGTGTCGCTCTACTGTCGCTTGCAATTCGCTCGAAAATTAGACCCTGAGACTGAAAAAGACAGAGTTAATAGACACCCGTCGTGGAATTTAGTAACACCACAAGAACTGAGGTCAGTTATAAATAAAATCGCCAATTTTAAACCTTATTGTATTTTATGCACAGAAACGTAGAAGTTACCCCACTAACTTTAAGCTTAAGTAAGGAAAACCTCACTCAGAACGTTCAGTCGCCTCAGACCGACCTCCCAGAAAGTCCAGCCAACTCGACATTGACCAGAAAAGGCCACAGAGTCGCGTTTCTGTTCGATTCCACTCTCACGGCATTCCTCATGATGGGAAATTTATCACCAGTGTGTTTCCACTACAACTAGTTTCAAATATTTTAAAATCAATTTCCAGGGTTTGAAAAAACACGCCGTCACGATGTTCGAAGTTGGTAAACTTTGCGACGAAAGTCTCGACAGTTTTCTTTCTGAGTTAGAAAAGGTGTCAGTGTTAGACGCTGAGGGTGAGGGTGAAGCTAGACGATTTTTTGATCATGCTGTTATTCTGAGGTCGACGATTTTGGCCCTGCGGAAATTGCCAGGACCGGGTTTAGATCTGGTGAGGTTGGAGAGTTTGCACTCGTTGGATGAGGCCACGTGTCTTCGTTTGTTACAGAAGAAATATAAGTGAGTTGATAAAACGACTGGGGTGTCCTTCAGTTTCGATTTTGTTTTTTTCGTTTTAGTCTGTTGGTATCAATGGCACCGTTGAGTAGGGAAGTACGGCCTGTGGTTAGTTTGAATCCTCCACATTTAGGGCCTGCGGTGCCCGAGGTGAATTCGCTTTGGTTTAAGTTGTTCTTGTACCATATTACTGGGTATGGGCCGCCTTCGTTACTGCTAGTAAAAGGTAAAATATTTTGTGTCATTGGTAGTCGCTGCAGTTAAAAAATTGAAGTTGTGCTCATTTCCGGCGAAACTGGAGGCTACTGAGTAACTGTTACTACTTGTGATTTTTTTGTCAGGTTGGCGATATTTTTAAAATTCCATGACGACATACCGTGCTTGTTCCAGGTACCGAACTCAAACAGCTCCCTCGAATGTTCCTCGGTTATTCCCGTCTTCTCGTCACCACGTGGCTCCACGAACCCGCCGTCATTCCAGTATCGAATATCCTCCACGTCAACGCCGCCGCACAGTATTCCCCCGTACTTATCCAAGCCTACGGCGTCCACCAGCCCGCCGACACCCACATCATTCCCTTCCCTTTCCGTCCGGACACGCCTTCGAAAACATTCTGCGAGGTCCAAACCGACCTCCAGTTCCGCAACCACCCGTCTGTCAAGTTCCTCTCGAACTTCGTCGACCTGGAGCACAACTGCGGATACTTGACTTTCGCCAATATCGGCGTACTGGATTTCGGGTGTCCGAATAAAGAGCTGACCGTGAGACTGGGCAAGAATCAAAGACATATCAATCCGAGCGTGGCGAGACAGAACAAGAGCGAGCCGCTGTCAATTACGAACGAGAATTTTAGTTTTAATAGCGTGAAGAGTAAGAAGGAGAAGCAGGAGGCGGAGTTGCAGTCTCCGGACGAGTCACATTTTGCCTTAACTCCTGTAGCGAACAGCCAGTGCTCGTCGCCGGCGAACGGCTTCACCAGCAAGGAGTGCTCGGAGTTGCTGCAGCAAGAGCTGGACGAGCTGGAGCAGAAGGAGCTGAGCAAAGAGGCGAAAGACGAGGCGTTACCGAGCGTCGTGTCGATAGACGGACTGATGTCTCCAACTGAAGAGAACATCAGCATGTTTTCGCGGAACGAAGCGGAAGAAAGCATAGTCGAAGAAAAAGAGGACAAGGTGGAGGACGAGAACTACGGGGAGGTGAGTGTAGTTTATGGCCTTGATGTGTGTCAGTAACTAACCTGCTCGTAATGGTGTGTGATTTTTCAAAATAGGTTTGGACCCTATTAGATTGCCATTTTGGAATTCCTCTGTTTGATGTTAACGCAAATACTAAAATTTGTGATACTATAGTGGCAGGAGGCTTGGCTGACGCGAATAGGTAAATAGTGGTGATTCTGGATGGGTTAGTCCATATCAAACCGTTAACACTGTTTGCTTTGAAATGGAATTGCCCATTGAGGGATGACTGTTTTAAATTTTTTTTTGTAGTTTAGAAAATTTGGTTGAATCTAGCCGCAAACTGGGGTCCGCGCTTCTGGATTTCATCTCGCAGTGTCAAGTAAGTTCGGATTTGAATTATAGACAAAAAAAAGAAAGAACGTATATGAGGTCTCACTGTTCCCGTTTTGGTCTTGTAAAATGGAGTATAGTTGCAATTATGCGAACCCCGAGTTCTCGGACCGTCACCAGACTTTTAACATTTTTTTGTGTATCCGAACCTCATTTATTAGTTATTTAATGGAGATTTTACTTGAATAAAACAAAAAATAAAAATGAAATTTGAAAGTATTTCTGAAGATTTATTAAAAAGAGAAAGAGTAAGGCAAGAAGAGCAAAATTTATAAATATATTGGAGAGTTTTGACATTTCTTTGTGTTTTAATAACAAATTCTGAGTAGTTAGCGGAAACGAGTGAGACATCCTATACACCCAAAAAGGAATACACTGATTACTATTTTTGCGTTTTCAAAGTATTACGTCGGTGAAAACATGGAAATAATGAAACGAGGTCGCTTGGTTCCGCTCCCACGGTACAGTCTGGTGTTCGACAACGGCAAAGTGAGCGAGTGGTCTGGAAAATAGTAATGATAGCAATACCGAATAACTTAAGTAACTTAAGTAAATGGGTACTTATACATACAATAACTGTATATATATTAAAGTGTACAAATTATGTGATATGATATTTTTAAGTTGGAGACTTACTTTTGTAAATACGTGCATTTACTAAGATGGCAGGGCTAGAGTTAAGGCGTTTAGTAGGACGCAATACTTTTTATTTTACGAGTCTTTTTACTTTGAATTGCGTCGTGTTAAACGTAAGCGTAAACCAAAATAGGCAGTGTTGCGTTGTTTAGGTTGAGGACCAAACAGAAAATCTGAGACACATACTTTCATTTATTTTATTATGATTTGTACTAATTAAAGCAGTAGCGGTACTAATGTATTGTTTTAACGTTTAGATTACGTACTGTTAGAGTAAATAAAATGTACCTACTTCTTAGTACGGGAGTGTTTGATTATTGGGTGGAATGGAGCGTCGTGTCGTTTTCTTAAAAAAATTGAATTTATTTATGTATATAGTACAAAAGCATTTGCGTCCTTAACAACTAAAATAAAAGTATCCACATGCTTCTTTTGAAGTATTGGTGTTTCAACTAATAGAACCTTAAAATAATCCACGATAATTAGTGACCTAATCAGTACTTTTTACAAGGATTTAATAAAAAGAGAGTGATATACAAATAACGTATAAATTATCATTACTCTATGAACTGTGGTTTCATTCATAATATAATACATAATTTACTGCGATTTTCATATAAAATGTGCAATAACAACTATTGAAAGACGTCTAAAAATGTTCCCAACAACGGAATGTGCTTAAAACTGGATTTTTAAATACCTAAATAGCTTTATCAAAAATATTAACAAATCTAAAAATATCATGTATGCAATATTGTCATATTTATCGTCGAAGAGGGCCACCACTCACCACCACCGACCCGCACTCTTTGAGCTAACAGTTTACCTTTTCAAGGCCGCCGGCGGTGAGCACCGGCCCTCTCGTTATCTGAATCACAGACACGCTAACTAATGAGAATTATGAATTCTGTACGCTATAAAAAAATGGAAGTTCCTTAACTATGTTTACATTTCGAATGTCATGTGATTTGAGATAAAAAATAAAAAACTAATAAAAAATATATAGTAAAAATATGTACAAGTTGTCATCTATAAAATATTACAATGCTTCAACAAATGCAAAGGCACGCGATGGATTCTAGGTACAGTTGTTAAATTTTGGCGTTTAAAAATGAGACCATTGACATATCTAACATCTTAAATATAAATAGCATCAGACCCCTTATTCGTCTGATGTCCGGTCGACGAGCTGTACGTGTTGGGGCTCGCCACGTTCTCCGACCAGTCGGAGTTGCAGGACCGCGGCGAGCTGGACGACCAATGGCCCGGACTCTCCGGGCTGGGGGTGGGAAAATTATCCGGCAACAAATGATCGGAGTGCTGCGAGGGCGGCGTCAAGTAATAGTTCTGCTGAAACTGCTGCGGCTGCAGAGTCGAGTTGGTGTTGTTCAGCAGCCCCGTGGGGTACGCCAGCGGCAGCTCCAACCCCGTCTGACTAAAATCGAACCCCATTTGCAGGTTTTGGGCCTGGGGCACGCCCCCGTGCTTTTGTTGGGTGGCCGCGCGCATGGCGGCTATGTGGGTGGGGCTTGTAGGCAAAGAAGGGCGTGTCTTGGCAGGAGAAGGGGAGCCGTTGTAGCCTTGGGGGGAAAGCGACATGTTAGATTGCACTGAATGAGGCGGGGACTGATTAGAATAAGGCGGGCTCAAAGTATTGGCTTGCTGCAGCTGCCGCTGCTGCATGATCATCGTATCGTGGAAGTTCCCCAAAGTGAACGCCCCGTAGTTTTCCAAGTTCACCAGGTTATGCATCGGGGGGTTGTTCTTCACCACGTCCTCGTAACTCGGCGGCTGCTTGCTCCCCATCAAACTCTCCAACCCCTGGGGTGTCAACCCCATGTTCGAGTAAATCGACGCCGTGTCGTACGGACTCGGCAAATTCGTCATGGGCGACTCCACCGGACTGAGAGTCGACGTTATGGAGTCGACACTCTGTGGCACCTCAACGTGTTGCGTGTTCTTCTTCGTCTTTTTCACGCTGGCTTTTCTTCGTATACTTCCGGTGTTCGTCAAGTCCATCTCGGGACTCGTCGGGTCGACGGAGACGTTGTTGTTGTTGTTGTTGTTGGCGTTTTTGCTCGGCCTTTTCGATTTTTGTCGCTTAGGAACGATCACGGTGGGTTGCTGTAGCTGGAGCTGGCCCGTCGGCGACGTCATCATGGATGTGTTGGGGATGACGTTCACCATTTGCGGGCTCCTGGGGACGTGCTCGTCGAGCAGTCGCACGATGTCGTGGTGGAGGCGCTCGCTGGCCACGTCTCTGGGCAGCCTGTCCATGTGGTCCGTTATCTCCCGGTTGGCGTAGGCCTCCAGGAGAGCTTTGCATGCTTGGTACGAACCCTCACGAGCAGCTAGGAATAACGGGGTTTCATCCTGAAACGAACAGTTACAATTTGTCGTGGGGTAAAATTAATAATAATAATAAAACTTACCTTGTCGTCTTGGGCATCCCTGTTCGCCCCATGCGCCAACAACACATTCACCGCCTCCACGTTATTAACCGCCGCCGCCCAATGCAGTGCCGTCTTCCCGGAATTATCGGCGGCGTTAATATCCGCCTCTGCACTAATCAGGTCCTGGACCATCCCCTCGATCGCCAACCTCGCCGCCAAGATCAGCGGCGTCGTGCCTTCGTGCATCCTCGCGTTCAAATTGGTCGCTCTGTTCCTCAACAAAATCTGGAACACCCCCAGAGCGTCCGCCGCCACCGCCGCGTGGAGTGGCGTCCTCCCGGTGTTATCCTGAGCGTTGGCGTCCGCCCCCGCATCCAGCAACCTCTTGGCGGCGTCAGCGCGAGCGTAGCGAGCCGCCAGATGCAACGACGTCTCGCCCGTCTTGTCCATCGTCGCGTTCAACTCGGCCCCTTGCGCCACCAGGTCCTGGATAACCGCGCCGGCAGAGTCGTCTTCGTCGTCGTCGCAGGTGTCCATCCCGCCGCCGCGAGTCGACGCCACCATAATCGGAGTCATCCCGCACGGACCTGCCAACACAACCGTAAACCCAGGAAGTCGCAACCATGCACCGTTACCTCTGGCGTTGATGTCGTTGTGGTCGCCCTGAGGCGGCGTCAGCATCGAGATGGGTTTGATGTCGGCGGCCTCCAGGTGCTGCTGCGACCATACCCGCGGCTCGGCCTCCTCGTAGTCGGTGATGCCGGTGTGGTCGCTGGCGTAGCCGGCCTCCAACCCTCTGAACCTCTTCGGCTGCGGCATGTCGGAGTCGTCGTCGGACCACTGCGGGACGTGGCCGTGTTGGCCGTGGTTGTCGATCTCCATTCCCGGAATCGAGGCGTTCTTGCTCATGTTGCGCAACTCCTGGCCTTCGGGGCCGCGTCTACGGGAACGTCTTCTGGGTCCGTTGGTCGCCAAGGTCCAGCCTTCGGGGAACCAAGTGATACCCGAAGCGCGTTTCCGTTGCGTGGTGACGATGACTCCGATGGCGATGCTTATAGCAAACACGATGATTATCCCGAAGACGACGTACTTGGCGTTCGTGGGGGTGTCGATGTCGTTGTCGACGTCGCCCACGGATCCGTTCACTTGATAAATAGGGAAGGACTCCGACAGAGTGTGCTTGGAGGCTTTCGCCGCCAAGAACTCGGCCGCTGCGCTTGCCGTTTGGAAGCAATTTTCGTTGCTTTCGGCCAACGTGGTGCACTTCCTGTTGTCGATCTCCAGGTACACTATAACCCCCGACTGCGCTTGTTCTGTATAAGCCACATGATGTTTCCGCGTGTAGTAGCTATTCTGCAAGCTACTAGGTCCAGTCCCCACCCAAGGATAAATCATATCCTGCCCATTCTGGTCCTTCTTCACCCTCACGTTAGTCCTCAACTGGTGGCTCGTGTCCCTCAAGAATGCCACAAGATTTTTCTTAAAACCTTGCATGTCCATGAGAATAACCATGGAAATCACGCCATCTGCGAGTTCAGGAGGTGCTTTCTCGCAGTCTAAACCGTCCCAGTTACACTCGGCGTTGTTGCAACCGTAGTCGCAGTAACCGTTAGCGTAGTGCTTTTGGCAGTAGGCGTCGTAGATGGGGTTGCAGGGTTGCAGCGACTTTTCGCAGTCGCGTCCATCGAACAAGCACTGGGGGTTGTTGCAGTCTTCGTTGCAGATGCCGTCCATGAAGACCTCCCAGCAACGGATGGACGCAGTGCAATTGACCCACGGGTTTATGCCCAAGGAGCAGTCGTTACCGTCGAACTCGCAGGCGTAGGTGTTGCATTCCTCGTCGCAGCGGCCGTTGCCGCGTTTCATGGGGCACTTGTTCTGGTTGCATTGCTGGCGCTGTTTTTCCTGGAGACGGAAATTAAGTGAGTTATTTTTTGCATAAGTTATAAATTTCGCAAGAAAAAGAAAAAGTGAGAAGGAATGATTTGTTATTTTTAATTAAAAAAAATTCGGGGGTCTATTTTTTTTTTTTTAATTTAAGTCACGGGAGATCCCCATCAGTGGTTTTGAAAAAAACCAAAAGAATCTCGGGAGCTCCCAATGTTTTTTTTTTTAAGAATTTAAAGGAAGCTCGGGGGTCTTTGTGTGTTTTTTTTTTTTTAATTTAGAAGAATCATGCGAGAGCCCATTGATTTTTTTTTTGTTGCAGATGTAAAAGAATCTCGGGGGTCCCTCGTATTTTTTTTTTTTTGAAGAATGGAAAAGGAATCTTGTGATTCAATTTTTTTAAGAATAAAAAGAGTCACAGGGGAGTTTAGTGTTTTTTTTTTGGGAGTTTAAAAGAATCCCAGGTATTCCTAGTGTTTTTCTATAAAGAATTTAAAAGCATTTCGGGGGTCATTAGTGGTTAAAAAAAAAAAAAATTAAACAATTTCGAAAGACTTTTTTGTTTCAAGAGTTAAAATTATCACGGAGGACCCAAGTGGTTGTTCTTAAGGATCTAAAAGAATCTGAAGGGCCTCTTCTGTTTTTTTTAATGAATTTTAAGGGTCCCTTGTGGTTTTTTAAAGAATTAAAAAAATCTCGGGAGTCTGCATTTTTGAAGAATAAAAAAGTCACTACTTTTTTATTAAACAATTTAGGGGGAGGGAGAGGTTCTTTTTTTTTGACAATTTCAAAATAAATATGGAGGCCTCTTTTTAAGAATTTAAAAGCTGTTTTTTTAAGAATTAAAAAAAAATGGGGGCGATACAAGTTTGTTAAAGAATTTTTAGTAGGGCTTATTTTTTTAAGAATTGAAGAGAATATTGAGGTTTGTTTTTTTTTTTAATTTAAAAGAATTTCGGGAGCCTGTTTTATTTTAAGAATTAAAAGATTCACGGAGGACTGTGTTTTTTTTTTCTGAGAATTTGAAAGATTCTCGGGGGACCTTGGTATATTTTTGAAAAATTAAAGAACGTCTAGCATTATTTTATTTATAAGAATTCTGGGGGTCCTCTTCATTAATATTTATCATTGGTTTAACATTCGCTATTTATTGGAAAGACTGACCAGTTTTTCCCCACCTAGAAAATTCGTGCCATATTATAGAACTTCATAATTTAAGAACTGAAGAGACCAAATAGAAACATAATTATTTTTATTATGAGTACACAATCAAAAGCTTTGTTTAAGGGTGGCGTCTGGTTCGGTTTCGCCCAATACTAAATACATTGAAAACATCGTCGTAGTTTCCGGAATTGCATTTTTAAAATACTGAAATCTCCAACCAAGTCAGAATCTAAGTAAACCTGTATTCTGCTACCGCATCACAGCTCGTTTAATGCCGATTTCTCGTTTCAATAGATTTTGACTTTTCGCGAGTTATTTACCTCAGTCGTGGATTTTTTAATATTATAAATGGTATCAAAAGAAAGCTGACGCTTTTCCCCAGGGGACCTCCTATTTCAGAATGCAAAAAACTTCAGCACTTCGTCAAAAAATGCATCAATGTGGCCGGTTAAAATGTGATGTAAAAGTTGTTCAACTTTATAATTTTTTTTTGTAAAAACTGCATTCTAGATATGAATATAAATATGGAGGTCCCCTGGACTGAAGTTTGTTAATTCGAAATATAATTTTTTAAAGCGATATATCTCATATTTTTAAAATGCAACTCCGGAAACCGCGACGATGTTTTCAATGTATTTAGTATAGGGCTAAACCGAACCAGACGCCAGCCTTAAATCACAGAAAATGGTCCCAACATTTTTTTTTTTTTTAACCAGAGGTGACGTAATTCATTGGTTCCAAACATATCTTTACAACAATAATTCTTTGTGAAGAAGTTACATGAATCCTACTATGAAACACGATGAATGAATCTCAATTTAAACTTTAATGCCACGATTATTTATAAGTGCTAGGCAAACTCCGCCCTATACACAAATCCCCACAACTCACCAAATCCTGTGCGTAGAAACTGCTCAGGTCCATCTTGGGCACCACCGCCTTCCCCAAGCCTCCCGTCGCACTCCTGTCGTAAATCTCGCAGTTCTTTCCCGTTTGTTTCGGCGGACAATAGCACGCGTAATCACCCAATTTATCCTGACACATCGCATCAGGATGTTGACACGGATTGCTATTGCACTCATTCAGCGAGTCAATTTCGCAATTAGTACCGGCGGTACCCAGCGGGCAATCGCACACGTAGCCTTCCCCATCCGAAATTCGGCAAACCCCGCCGTTCTGGCACGGATTCGGCTCGCAGTCGTACCCGCTCGACTCGCAGTTCTTCCCGTAGTACCCTTCCGGACACGAGCACTTGTGTCCCGCGTGGATCGTCGTGCAAATCCCGCCGTTCTGGCACGGCGAAGTCGCGCAGAAGTTCACCTTGGACTCGCAATGCCGCCCCATGAAACCCGCTTTACAGTTGCAATGGTAGTCGTTGACCAGCTGGACGCAGTCCAGAGTACCGGCGTTCGAGCACGGGTTCGACAGACACTCGTTGATGTCGCCCTCGCAGCGCGGACCCACGAACCCTGGCGGACACTTGCAATCGAAGCCGCCGACCTTATCCAAGCAAGTACCGTTATTGTGGCAAGCGCCGGGGCGGCAGTCGTCGATGTTGATCTCGCACAGGAGGCCGAGAGTACCCGAGGGACAACTGCACGAGAACCCGTTGACCAAATCGTGACAAGTGCCACCGTTCTGGCACGGGTTGGGTTTGCAGTCGTCGACGTTGAGCTCGCAATTTTGCCCTTGGAAGCCTTTGGCGCAGTGGCACGAGTACGACCCGACGAGGTCCTTACACGTGGCACCGTTTTGGCAGGGGGCTGAGTCGCACTCGTTGATCTCCTGTTGGCAGTAGGAGCCGGTGTAGCCGTCGGAACAGTGGCACCGATGGGAGTTGCCGATGTCTTCGCAGGTACCGTTGTTGCAGAGGGAGCGCAGGAGGACTCCTTTGCGTAAGGCTGCGTCCTTGCAGCTGACCATTTCGACGTCGCAGACTTTCCCGGTCCATCCCACGCCACATTTACACTGGTATTGGTTTTTGTCTTGTTGGCACTTGGCTTGGTTTTCGCACGGGTTGGTGGCGCACCAGTCGACGTACTCGCCGCAGTCTTTTCCAGTGTAACCGTAGGGGCAATGGCAAGTGTAGTGGGTCGTGTGGTCTTGGCAAGTGGCGCCATTCAGGCAAGGAGAGCTGTCACACAAATTGATGCGGTTCTGGCAGTTGGAACCCGTATAACTAAAAACCAATATCGTCACATTAATATGAGTGCGCAAAACACACCCTACGACACTAACTCACCCAGGCTTACAGGTGCACGTGTACGAATTAATCCCATCAATACAAGTCCCTCCATTCATACAACTACTCTCCGTACAGTCCTCATCGTTCGTTTGACAGTTAATCCCCGAAAAACCCAAGGGACAAGTGCACGTGTACGAATCAACATACTGGTTACAAGTGGCTCCATTATGGCAAGGATTCGACAAACACTCATCTATATCTATATCACACTGTTTTCCCTCGAATCCGTTGACACACAAACACGTATAATCGCCAATATCATCCAAACAAGTACCACCATTCTGACAAGGATCTGCAACAAAAAAATCAATCCCGAAAAATGGCAGGCAATGCGCGAAACTTACATGATGCACAATCGTCGGTATTAATCGAGCAATCCTTTCCTTCGAAACCACGCGCACACATGCAGTGGTACGACCCGTTCGTGTTGCGACAAGTGGCGCCGTTGCGACAAGGCTTAGAAACGACGCACTCGTCGACGTCTTGGTCGCAAAACCTCCCCGTGTAGCCACCGATGCAAGTACACGCGAAATCCTTGTAGTTCGAACTAGGAGTACACTTGGCGTTGTGCCGACACCGATTAGGGGTACACGGATCCAATTTCTCTTCGCATTTCCGTCCGGTGAAGGGTAGCTCACAGACGCACTTGTAGTCGTTGACTTGGTCGATGCAAGTACCTCGGTTCTTGCACGGGTTGATGGCGCAGTCGTCGATGTTAGTTTCGCAATTAACACCGGTATAACCTACTCAAATTTTGGTTAAAATCGACTTTACATAGTCTAGTAATAGGCGACAGCGTAGCTGCTGCCTGTTACTGTTGTTACTTGCGTACCTGGCAGACACTCGCAGGTGTACGACGCCAAGTGATCCCTGCAGATCCCGCCGTGTTGGCACGGATTGGAAGCGCACTCGTCAATATTGATCTCGCACTGTTTGCCGCTGTAGCCGGCTTTACAGTGACAGATGAACTGATTGACGCCATCTTCGCAGCTTCCGCCATGTTTGCAAGGGTTCGAACTGCACTCGTCAACGTCGCTCAGACAACGAGCGTCGTAGTATCCACGAGGGCACTCACAACGGAAACCGTTGATCATGTCAATGCACACGCCCCCGTTGGCACAGGGGTTGGAAGCACACTCATCGATGTCATTCTCGCAGTGCTTACCCGTGAAGCCCGGAATACACTCGCAGTTGTAGCTGGAAACGGTCAAACTCAGCAACACAAAAACAAAAACTAAATTCAAGTGAAAGAAACGAACTTACAGGTTGTAGGGATCGTTACTGTGCGCATGTAAGAGAAAAGTGTTAGTTTAGATGACTGTGGTACTCTGGTAAGAATATGTTTGCACACACATAAATTTTTGTGGTGCCGCCTACCTGTTGATCCCGTCCACGCATCTCGCGTTGTTCCTGCACGGGTTGCTGTAGCACTCGTTGACGTTGATCTCGCAGTTGGGGCCCGACGTGCCCGCTTTGCACAGGCACTGGTACCCGTTGACCAGATCCTGGCACTTGCCGCCGTACTGGCAGGGGTTGGACTCGCATTCGTTGATTTGGTGTTGGCACAGTAAGCCGGTGTAGCCCGGGTGGCAGGTGCACGTGAAGGAGTTCTCGCCGTCGAGGCACTCGCCGTGGAGGCACGGCGATGACTGGCAATCGTTGATGTTGGTCTCGCAGGACAAGCCGGTGAATCCTGGGGGACACTCGCACGTGTAGCCGGCGATGGAGTCGTGGCAGATGCCGCCGTTGCGGCACGGGTTCGAGATGCAGTCGTCGATGTTTATCTGGCACCGGGAGCCGGTGAAGCCTATGGCACAGCTGCATTTGAAGGAGTTGATGAGGTCGTGGCAGACGCCGCCGTTGAGGCAGGGTTGGTCTTTGCATTCGTCGATGTCGATCTCGCATTGCGTGCCGGTGAAACCTGGAGAGAAGGGTGATGTAAGGGTTTGGGCTGTTGGCTGAGTAAAAGGGCTGGCACTTTTGGTTTTTATATATAGGCAGAGCTCATGGTCACCATGAACCATCAGTCCACAGACCTCAGGCATTATATGAAGTAATAAATGTAATAATGAAATATAATGATGTATTTATATTTTAAATCGTTAAAGTTTTATGTTTGTGTGCAACTTCGTAATTAAATGATTACTGGCAATTCATGTATGTTGTCTCATCGTAAAATAATATATATGTATACATATAAATATTACCGACCTATTAAATTTTTTTTACGGATCCAGTTCTGTTTATAAATACAACACACTATTTTCCATAGTGTATAATAATGGAAATTCAAATTTTATTGTTTAAATTCGCATAATTTTTGTCAATGTTGACCTCGCCGCGTAAGGATAATCTGCATTTCAGGTCACTTTGAGAGCAACTGGGGATTTTAGATATTTCAAAATAACACTTCCATTGATCGATAAATTTAGAATAATCCGAGTTTTTAACAAAATTGCCCAAAATTCAGTTCAGAAAATCGTTGTAAACTTGGCCGCGATTTTATGCAAATAAGTGCGAGTATAGAAGGCCAAAAAAGTATGAAGGAAAATTTATGAAAAATAATTACGTTAGAGGAAATGCATTAAGTAAGTCTTGTTAAGTTTATCATTGTTTGCGCTTTTGTGTACCAAAGTACTTAAAAATTTGGAGGTTACACCTCCAAAAAAACGTAATGAATGTGCAATTTATTTGCAAAAAACCGGAAAATATCACACCTATATTAAAATTCAAAAACTAAAATAAAATCTACTCGAAATACATCAAGAACGTGGGAAAAAATAAATGCAAACAATATCACTTACACTAATTAATTGTGTTGATAACCTTGGCAGATTTTGGCGACTAGTTTAACATTATAAAATTTCGGCCCCAACTATCTCTCACAAATCCCAAATTAGCCAACAACAAAATTCAAAACCGACTAAAATCATTTTCTCAACAATCCTCGCATGTCGGCGCTCCAAGGGTGAAAGACCGGTAAATTCACCCATCAAACCATCTCAACTCTCGATAATCCCACTCCTACGTGGGTCAGCGATGGACGCACACTAGTGCAGAGCTTAGCCCACATATATGACCTTAGCCACTTAATGGCTGGGGCGGGTCACATACCATAGACTACCACACGACGAAATCGTTGACCACATTCGAACCAATCTAACTGGGATAAGTTGCAATTACATTAATGGCCAATAAAAACGGACATCACAATTCCGCATTTGTCCGGTTTGTTTTAATATGTGGTAACGGGAACGCTCCGTGTGACATGAAATGGAATATGTGCATGTTTATGAAGGCGACGATGTAATTTACCGAGCTACGAGAAATGAAGATGAAATGCGTCATCTCTGCAATTAAGATGTTGATGGAGTTATGATTTTACGCTTGCGAAGAGTGCGGAATGCCTATGCGATCGAGCGCCTCTTGGGACTTTATATTCACAAAAAAAAAAAAAAATGTATTATTGATGATCGGTTTTTCTGTGAGAGTGTATTGTTGGTTGACTACGATTATTCCATTTTTTCTCCTCAACGTGGTTAATTACTGAATATTTGCAGCTACATTTCGATTGGTGATATATAGTAGACGTCAAAACTAATTTAACAACAATGAAAAGTGTTACGAAAAGCTTGTCTTTGTTCTCAGACTTCTCGACACGAAAACTTCATGAAAAACTACTTCCTGTCATGCATTCCAACGCAAGTCTTCGTTTATTTTAATAGAAGTAACAAATGGAGATAGTATAACTGAGATAAACAATAAAGATGTTCTGTGTTTATTAGTACATGAACCGTACAAAGGCCAATTGAGCCTAGTGTTGGTCATGTGAACGTGTCGGCGTAATAAATCAACGTAGTTTAAACGTCGATTTTGACCTGGTTTCGCCTTACTGCAGGACATGGGTGTTTTATCGCGATGATTTTAGTCCTCCGGCTACGAGAACGAAGCTTTGTTGTTATCTTCGCATATCGCGAATAAAAACTGACACTTTTCGACTTGTTAATCAGCTGACTCGAGTACCGCAAAACCTTAATCTATTTTTTTGTTTTTATTCAAAAGTGGAACTAATAGTGACTAGGTTGGTTATTATAAACGACTCTTTGAACGCACTACTAATTATTCACAATTCGAAATAATTTTCCGTGTCATAAATCTGCAATTTGACTTGACTCTCATGCTGCTTTTATTGCCGCTGCTTTCACAGGAAATAATTTGCACTTTTCTTATTTTAAAAACCGATCTCGACAAGTTCGAATTCATTAAGTTCGTCTCATAACCATAAGGAATGCCTATTTTGGAAAATCCGGTTTTTATCGTTAATGGGACCGAAGTTCGAGTGGTGTCTCCTCATTACTGACGATTTCGACATTATGCGAAAGTTGATTATAAATTACGAGTGCAGGATTTTTTCGATTAAATGTAATCTCGTTAGGTTTCGAACTTTCAGCTTCATGTTTTCTCCAGACGGTGATTACTCCACTGGGAACGACGAATAAACCAGCAAACCTACGATATTCATTAGCCGTAAAATTGGACATTGCTCTGTTTTAGGTTTTATTTCTAACATAAACAAAAGCAAATAATAAAGAGAAACGTGAAACTTGCGAGAATTATCAGAACAAAATTTTAAAACTATTTCTACATATCAGCAAAATACTTTCTAGGTAATTTAGGTAAGTAATAAAAACAGAGAACTAGTACGGGTTTTATTTGTTGTTGTTATTTAAGAATTGTAACAAATTAAACAGGATCTTTAGATCACTTCCGCACAAATTTATAACTCGTGACATTTTACGAAACCCTAAACTTAAAGTACTTATTTTTGGTTAATTTTGCAAATATTTAAATTTTATATCTAACACTACCGACATTAAACAAAATCATTCGATTTGTTTCTCTAGTACTATAACAATCCATGTTTAATAAAAATTTCGAAAATCTTACCAAAATTAATATTACCATATTATTGTATTCTTACATGTTTGATCAAATTTATCGATTTGTCTACTTCACCCTCTTGTCGAACCTCGTAAGAACCAAACAATAAAAATAATAATAAGTGGATTCATAAACCACAAGTACAGGAGTACATTATTTAATAAAATTGAAATCTTTTACTGGACAAAATCTTGAACTGACGCTATAAAAATGTTGATGATTTGACAAATTCTGGTTAATGTTTTACCATCTACATGATATTCCTAACACACATCAATATATAGACAGCCGAAACGGAAGACCTACAGTCATGAAACAACGACAAAACATAATCGGATGAAAGTAGAAAAAAAGTTGTATGTATAACTTTTACTAATTAAAAGAAAATATTAGTGCCAAATTATATTTATGTCAAAAGCACGCAAAACCAAGCCACCATTCAGCTGTGAAGTTCGCCACAACGAAATATTAGCCGGATTACGTGCTCGTACCTGTGCGGTAATACTACCTTAGCTCACGTGTAACGCATAAAATTTTATCTCCGACTTCTGCATTCATATGACAGTTCGAATGAAATAAAAAAATACCACTTGTGTAAAAAACTTAGACAGTAATTTAACTCAAACATTTGTACTGTTTTATAATTTGAGAAGTGCGATAATTTTGTTTTAGTTCACGTCAAACATAATTTTTTTTCTACGACTTCTGCATTTGTGCGTAAACAACTTAAACCGAGTAAAAAAATGTTATCGATCAGGTAATCTGACTCAATTAAGAGGTATATTCGCGTAATTTGCTGCCTCGTATTTTTTAAACGAACTGAAAAAAATGTTAACGAATTCCAGATGTCGACTTGTCCGCAATTACCTGTTTATAGCAGGTATATCCATCAGCATCATTTGCATGTAATTACAAATCAAATAAAAATTTTCTCTGCGTTCTCACGTCGAATTTCGCCCGAAATTCGCCACCTATTAACCTCGTCGTCGTTTTTGGGAAATCACTCTCCCCTTTTTCGTCGGTTGCGTGCTTGCACTCGTCGAAAAATTCCTCGCTTTCTCGCCGAGGCACAAAAATGTCGCATAGCTGCGTTAATGAAACCGTTTTAATACCCCAGAACCGGTGTGCCCGTCCATAAAATCCCATCACATGCACGTCAACGTCCAAACGCAATCCACACGTTTGAAAATGAGCGTTTTAATTACCGCGAGATACATATTCAATACCCATCCAATTTCGCTGAAAAAGATCGCACCGTTATTATGAGAATGGGGCCAATTACCATCCCGACTTCTTGCACAAGCAGGAAAAAAACGCACCTCTGCGCTATGGCCAGCGAAACCACTATGCAAATGAATTCGCTCTACGGAATCCGCCATCCGTCGATTTTTATTTATTTATTTATTTATTTTCGCGAAGCTCACTTTTCTGCCTCCTCCGAAGCTTGTAATTTAGCCGACGTTGTGTCATTGAACGCGGATTCTAAGCGGCAACTTATTCAATTACAGGTTACAATGCCCTTGCGTTTGATTGTGTTTTAGGCGGCATCATCTTGTCTCGGACACAGCGAGATGCATATTAATTATTCGTTTATAACGTGATGAAGCGTTTCTTCGTCAATGCCAGCTCAGAATCTCTATCTGCTCGTCTAATTCGGCTGATTTGCGATCGGACGTGGACGCTCTTCGAAGCACAATGCTTTTTTTGTGCTTTTCGGACGTTTCAATTTGTCTTGAGATCGCTCGAGGATGGTATTATGTGAATGTTCCTGACGTGGGAGTCTTTGGAAAACATACTAGAAGGTGTACCTAAACCGTGAAAGCTCGGCTATGGGCGTGTTTACAAGAGACGCGGTTGCACAACAACCGTTACGGATATGTAAAGGTTTATACCTAATTCATAAGGCGGTTTTGTGGACTGCATGCGAGATTGCCGAGATTGGATAGAGGTCACGGCGTTAACAACGATTTTGTGCTTTCATCCAGAGACACCACCTAACGCAAAAACTGATTCCGAACTAACAATGGCTTTATCGGAATCGTAATAATTTAATAGGCTTTTCTCTCCGTTCCGCTGCGTGGTGGTTAAACAAACACAGGCTTTGTTAATTACAAATTACATGTGTTTTAGATTACGGTTATCGTGCTTTTTCGTGTTGCTTGTAATTAATACACTCGAGGATGGTAAATTAGCGATTTGTGTTGCTCAACGTGTGTACGAGGTTTTCGAATGAAGATATTTTCTGTTTTGAGTACGGTGTATCTTGCGATCTTCGACCGCGGGGTACATGTTGGAGGCTGGACATTTTTACAAACGAGATTTCGTTTATGATAGTGAAATGCCGCAAAAAATTCACCGTGAAGAATAAACATCTCGAAAATCGAACAAGTTTATAAATCAAAAACACGTTTTTACTCCCTGGGCGTAAGCCATTATTTAAATTTTATAAAGTAGCGTATTCCTGCATTTGTGGTTTATGAATACTAACGTAGTCTTGAACTTGTGATTTATGAATCCGTGTTGAATTTTTATCCGAGATATCGAGATTTTTAAGAAAAAAAAATGTAGATATAACAATTATTTTCCGATTTCCCAATTTATCGATATTTCAGTGTTGGAATTTTTCAGTTTCATTATTTTTCGATATTTTAATTTGTAAATTTTCAATTTTTCGATTTCTCAAATTCTCGATTAATCAATTTCTTGATTTGCTCATTCCTGTTTCTCGACTTTTCAAGGTTTCAATTTTTCACTTTTTCAATTCTTCAATTTTTTCAAATTTTCGACTTATCGATTTCTGGATTGTTCCCTTTTTCATCTTTTCGATTTTTTTACTTTTACATTTTTTGATTTCTCCATTTTCTTACTTTTTTGATTCTTAATTTTTTTCGATGTTTCAATTTCTCGAGATTTCTGTCATAATTTTTCGATGTCTCGATTTTTTGAACATTTAATTTCCGGATTTATCGACTTTTCAATTGTTCAATTTACAACCTTTCGATTCCTCAATTTTCCGATTTTTCGACTGTCGATTTTCAATTTTTCGATATTTCAGCGTATTTTTCAATTTTTTGATTCTTCAATTTGTGGATTCATCAAATTTTCGAACTTGATTTTCGTCATTTTTAGATTTCTCATTTTTCCGATGTGTCCGTTTTACGACATTCCAATTTTATGACTTTTTTTATTTTTCAATTTCTCAATGAATCGATTATTTGATTTTCCCATTTCTCGATTTGTCGACTTTTCAGTTTTTCCATTCTTCAATTTTTCTCGACAATTCAATTTATTACTTTTTCCACTTTTTAATTTTTCGGTTTTAAATTTTCGATTTTTCGACTTCTCTGTTTTAGATTTTTCGGTTTTTCAATTTTAAAAAATTTTGATTTTTCGATTTTTTAGTTTTTTTATTTTTCAATTTCTCGATGTTCCAGGCTTTTCGATTTCCCAATTTGTCGTCGTTTCAGTTTTGGAATTTACAATTTTTTAAAATTTTGAATTTTTGGTGTCTCGATACTTCAATTAATTACTTTTTCGATTTTTTAATTTTTCGTCTTTAAATTTTCGATTTTTCAATTTCTCGATTTTTTGACTTTTCTGTTTCAGATTTTTCGGTTTCTAAATTTTCGATTAGTTTTTTATTTTTTAATTTTTCGATTTTTCGATTTAACGAGATTTCGATTTTTTGACTGTTCAGTTTCTGGATTTTTTTTAATTAAAAATTTTTGAATTATTTTTAACTTTTTGGCCTATTTCATCTCTCCACTTTTCGGTTTTTCTACTTCTCAACTTCTCGGTTTCGCGATCTTTTGATGTTTCGATTTCTCGATGTTTCAGTTTTTGAATTTTTCAATGTTTCGATTTTTCGGTTTTTCGATTAAATTTCCCGATTTTTAAATTCTTTGATTTTTTTAAATTTTGGATTTTTGATTTCTCGGTTTTTCGACTCTTCGATTTCTCGATATTTCAATTTATTACTTTTCGATTTTTTGCCTTTTCTGTTTTAGATTTTTCGGTTTTTCGATTTTTAAAATTTTGATTTATCGATTTTTCAATTTTTCGGTTTCTACATTTTTCGAAAAGTTTTTTTATCTTTTAATTTTTCGATTTCTCGAATTATCGAGATTTCGATTTTTTTATTGGCCAATTATTTTTAACTTTTGGCCTATTTCATTTCTCAATTTTTCTATTTCTCAATGTTTCAGTTTTTGAATTTTTCAATGTTTCGATTTTTCGGTTTGTCGTTTTCGAATTTCCCAATTTGTCGTCATTTCAGTTTTGGAATTTTTCAATTTTTCGATGCAATTGCCAATTTTATAATTTTTGGATTTTTGGTTTCTCGGTTTTTCGACCTTTCGATTTCTGATTTTTCAATTTATTACTTTTTCGATTTCTCAATTTTTCGACTTTAAATTTTCGATTTCGGCTTTTCGATTTCCCAATTTTTCGCCATTTCAGTTTTGGAGTTTTTCAATTTCTCGATTTCTAGTTTTTCAGTTTAATTTCCCGATTTTTAAATTTTTTTACTTTTTAAAATTCTAGATTTTTTATTTTTCTGTTTTTAGACTTTTAGATTTCTCTGTTCTGTTTTTGATTTTTCGGTTTTTCAATTTTTAAAATTTTTGATTTTTCTATTTTTCGATTTTTTAGTATTTTTATTTTTTAATTTTTCGTTTTCTGGATCTATAGAGATTTTGATCTTTTGGTTGTTCAATTTCTGGATTTTTTGATTTTTTTTAATTCAAAATTTTTCAATTATTTTTTTAACTTTTTGGCCTATTTCGTTCTTCAATTTTTCGATTTTTCGATTTCAAATTTCCCAATTTGTCGTCATTTCAGTTTTGGAATTTTTCAATTTTTCGATTCAATTGCCCATTTTATAATTTTTGGATTTTTGATTTCTCGGTTTTTCGACCTTTCGATTTCTGATTTTTCAATTTATTACTTTTTCGATTTCTCAATTTTTCAACTTTAAATTTTCGATTTCGGCTTTTCGATTTCCCAATTTTTCGCCATTTCAGTTTTGGAGTTTTTCAATTTCTCGATTTCTAGTTTTTCAGTTTAATTTCCCGATTTTTAATTTTTTTTACTTTTTAAAATTCTAGATTTTTTATTTTTCCGTTTTTAGACTTTTAGATTTCTCTGTTCTGTTTAAAATGTTTCGGTTTTTCAATTTTTGAAATTTCTGATTTTTCTATTTTCCGATTTTTTAGTATTTTTATTTTTTAATTTTTCGATTTCTGGATTTATCGAGATTTTGATCTTTTGGTTGTTCAATTACTGGATTTTTTTATTTTTCTTTTAATTCAAAATTTTTCAATTATTTTTAACTTTTTGGCCTATTTCATTCCTCAATTTTTCGATTTTTCCACTATTCGACTTTCGATTTCTCGATCTTTTGATGTTTCGATTTTTCGATTTTCTAATTGGTCGTCATTTCAGTTTTGGAATTTTTCAATTTCTCGATTTTCATTTTTTCGATTTAATATCCTTATTTCATAATTTTTGAATTTTTTAAATTTTGGATTTTTGATTTCTCGGTTTTTCGACTTCTCTGTTTTAGATTTTTCAACTTTAAATTTTCCAATTTCTAGATTTTCAGTTCTTCGATATTTGTTTCAATTTTTCAAATTTTTAAATTTTTGATTTTTCAATTTTTTGATGTTTCGATTTTTTTAAATTTTTAAACTTTTTAATTTCTGGAATTTTCAATTTTTCAATTATTCGATTTTTTAACAACTGGTAAACTAAAATATAAAAATACGCATTTTCATACGATTTACTTATTCCAATCAAAATTTTGATAATTTTTTTCGAAAAATTTACACATCCAAAATTAAAAACGGGTGCATTAATAAACCACCACAAATTTAAACACATATTATACAAATTTTGCTAAAAATTGCGATGACGTCATCGACCCTTTGGAGAGGACAAACAGATAAATTTTGATCCGCGATTCAACGTAACTGGAGAAGTAGCAGAACGACAAGTCACAAATATTTGCTGCGAATTTCAGTAGTCGTCATGGTCATAAAAATGAAAAACTCAAATGGTAATAAAATCTAAACATTAACTTTATTTCAGTTGCTACCAGCAGTTCTTCAACAAACCACACGTTAAAAGAGCCACTTATTTAAGAAACTCGAACACAATGCGCATGTTCGTCTTACGATAAAATGATTTCTTTGACAAATCGAAGAATCACTTAAATATCGGAAAACGACGTTCGTTACATGATCGCTCTCTTCAGAAAAACTCAATCCAATGTTTACATTTTATATAACATAACGGGAAGTAGAAAACCAACAACGCCAACAAAACAAGTATTAATTACCACGAAAAAACACAAGAACCTTATGAAAAGCACAAAACGAAAATCATTGCAACGGATGGACGAACAGGTTTTTCCAGACTTAATGACGTCGAAATTAAATTTTTACTTCTTCAGCAAAACAAACAAATTACCTAGCTCCAACTTTAATTCCGTCTCACTTTGTGCGAAAGCGCCGGAATTTCGTATAATTATCCAACAATTAATCGAATTATACAATAAAAACCACAATTAGCCGACTATTTAATTGCCTTAATCGCTCCATGTTCACAACCGGTCAACACATAACAGCAAGAACGCGTTCTCGAAAGCGCATTTCTCAAATTTTTAAACAAAACGCGGATCATCTTTGAAAAACTGATCTCTTGGAGAAGAAAAGATGTCGCGATAACGATCGCGAAAGAAGCAAAAGGTGCCCCGAACCAGTGCCATAAATGGTATATTAACTCGCCGAGTGACTACTCGTACGTCGATTCCGATTGAGTTTAATTAGGTTTTTGCGAAAAAATACTAACTTACCTGGCATACAAACGCATCTGAACGTTCCGGGATCGTCCAAACAGGATCCGTCGTTGTGGCAAGGATGTGATTCGCATTCGTTGACGTTGGTCTCGCAACGGGGGCCGGTGAAGCCTTGGGTACAGTTGCAGGCGAAGCTGCCGGGGGTGTTGACGCAGATGCCGTCGTGTTCGCAGGGAGAACCTGAAAGAAAATTAAATTTAATTGTAAGTGTGTTTTTTTCTAAATCGAGAGGTTGTTCAAGGCTCCGTACGGAGATATTTTTCCTTCCTGATTTTCGTGAACGATTTTGTGGTCGAATTTAGCGCTCTGTGTAGACGACATTGCCGTTTTTGTAAAAAATATCCGGATATACATTTTTCTGTAGTTTTATGAGATTTATAGGAGAAAAATATTTGAAGTACGATTATTTTCTATCTTGGTATTACAACTTTAGTCAAATATAAGGACCAATTTTTTATTCTTATTAAAAAAATGACATACACAAACAGAGTTTGGTCTTTCTTTTTTAAAATTATTTAAATTACATACTACTATGCCTGCGGTTTATGAATCAGCTTTGATTGTTTACCCCAGGCATTCAGATATTTGCAAAAAATCAAATTGTATACTCATGTCAGGATTTAAGTTTCTTTAAACTTATGTTACGAAAACAGATAAAAATTTTCGAAAAGTTCTACAAAATCTGGGATATAGACCTCGATGAGCTAATTCAGAAAACAAAACTCTTTCTTTTTCTTCGTTTTCGTAACATAAAAAATATTTTTTTCCGTAAAAATTTAAGAATTATTTGCCTAAAATGTTTAAAAAGTGTCCTTCTAGTACAAAATCTTTAAGTAATTTCAATCGTCACAATGACAAAATTTATGAAAATTTCAACATGATGCAAATTGCTTGAAATCTGTAGGTTTTTTTTTCAATTACTAAATACCATTTCGAAAATAATTGTAAATTTTAATACTAAATAATTTTCCGTTGAGAACTCATACAAAGATTTCAAAAAAATTCGACAACTTTTGACAAATTTCGAAATGAGCACTGTTTTTTTTTACTCCGTGTAAAAATATTGTCTAATGATCCTCACAAACATTTTTTTTTTTTAAATAACATACTCCCGTAGTTGTCGTTTATGAATCCACCTTGATTTTTATACCAATTGCTTTTCCAAATCTTTTATATAATATTTGTCATGTGTTTCATATTCGAAAATTTCAAAAGAGATAAGTACTAAAAATTTGAGCGTTGAACAAATTTCCATAAAATTCAAAAAATACTGGGTGTTTATGGTTCCCAAGCAAAATTTTCGATATATTCGATATGAAAGTCAAATGTTTTAAATCAAAAAATTTCGTAATTTTGAAGAAATAGGAGGAATTTATAAGAAGTGAATCCAAAAGTGGCTTGTGGCGTTTGAAATCTCTTTTGGTAATTTTTCTAGGTGGTCAAAATATGACTGAAAATTTCGTAAGGATACTGACATATTGAAATTTGGAAAAAGTTGCCTAAAATTTCATAAAAATTCTACGATGCAAATAAATTAAAAAATCATAGGAGTTTACGGTGCCGAAGCACAATTTTCGAAAGTCAAAATTTTAAAAATTCACACATTTTGTGTTGGTGATTTTGGAAAAATGTTGGGAATTTTCATAGAAATGAAGGCTTATAAAATTCCAAATCCACAAAAAATCTCTTTAGTTATTTTCGAATGTGGTCGATGAACTGTCGAAAATATTAAGGCGATTAAGGGTATTGAAAAATTGAGCTTTGGGAAAAATCGCCTAAAATTCCCCAAAAAATTCTGTTACCAGACTAAGATTTTTGAAACATTCGACTTGGAAGTAAATTTTTTTTTAAATCCCAAAAATTGCAATGTGATTTGGGGAAAATGTTAGAAACAAAACCAAAAATGGCTTACGAAAGTTGAAATCCACAAAAACATTCTTTTGGGTAATTTTCAAAAACAGTCGATAAATTGTCGAAAATCTTAAAAGTATTGAAAAATTGAGCTCTGGGAAAAGTCGCCTAAAAATCCCCAAAAAAATCTGTAATGTAGATCTCGACAGGCTAATTCGCAAAATATAGTGCGTTTATGGTTTCAAAGCAAGATTTTTTAAATATTGGGCTTAGAAGTATTTTTTTTTTTTAAAGCCCAAAAACTGACATTTTTTTTGTTATGAATTTGCAAAAATGATAGAAATTTTGGTATAAATAAGGCCAAATATGCTTTATGAAAGTCAAAATCTACAAAAAAATCTTTTTGGGTTATTTTCAAACGTGATTGATAAATTCTGAAAAATTTTTAAGTGAATTAAAAAATTGAGCTTTGGAAAAAGTCGCGTAAAATTTTCCAAAAAATTCTGTAATGTAGATCTCAACGTGCTGATTCGAAAATATAACCCGTTTATGGTCGCAGAGTAAGATTTTTGAAATATTCGATTTGAAAGTAGAAAGTTTTAAAAATCCCAAAAATTGCAATATGATTTTGGAAAAATGTCAGAAATTTTCGTAGAAATAAAACCGAAAATGGCTTACGAAAGTCGAAATATACAAAAAAATCTTTTTGGCTAATTTTTAAATGTGATCGATAAATTGTGGAACATTTTAAGTGAATTAAAAAATTGAGCTTTGGGAAAAGTAGCTTAAAATTTTCCAGAAAATTCTGTAATGTAGATCTCAACGTGCTGATTCCAAAAATATAGCCCGTTTATGGTTCCAGAGTAAATTTTTGCAATATTCGACTTGAAAGTAGAAATTTTTAAAAATCCCAAAACTTACTGTACTTTTGGAAAAATGGTACGAATTTTCGTAGAAAATGGTCGATAAATTGTCGAAAATATTAAGGCGATGAAAGGTACTGAAAACTTGCGCTTTAGGAAAAGTCGTAAAAAATTCTGCAAAAAATTCTGTCACAGCAAGATTTTTGAAATATATGACTTGGCAGTAAGTTTTTGTAGAAATAAAGCCAAATATGACTTATGAAAGTCGAAATCTCCAGAAAATAAATTTTGGGTAATTTTCAAATCTAGTCGATAAATTGTGGAACATTGTAAGTGAATTAAAAAATTGAGCTCTGGGAAAAGTTGTCTAAAATTGTCCAAAAAATTCTGTAATATAGATTTTGACGTGCTGATTCAAAAAATATAGACAGAGCAAGATTTTCCCAAAATTCCATTTGAAAGTCAAAATTTTAAAAAATCCCTAAAATTGACAGTTGATGATTTCGGAAAAATTGTAGGAATTTTCGTAGAAATAAAGCCAAAAAGGGCTTATGAAAGCCGAAATCTGAAAAATAATCCCTTTAGGTAATTTTCGAAAGTAAATAAGTTGTTGAGCTTTGGGAAAAGTCGCCTAAAATTCCCCAAAAAATTCTGTAGTGGAGATCTCGACAGACTGATTCGAAAAATACAGGGCGTTTATGGTCCCGGAGTAACATTTTCCAAATTTTTGGTTGGAATGTCAAAATTTTAAAAAATCCTAAAAATTGACATTAATTTGGAAAACATTGAATAGAATTTTAGAAGAAGCCAAACAAGATTTTTCAGACATTTTTAAATTCTACGTTACATTATTTTCCGTGCAGAAATACAAAATATTAAAGTTTTTCTGGAATTATGTGCTAAATCATATGGACTCTTCTAGGGTGACCATTACACCTCCCGTTAACACACTGCGTAAAACATACATTGCTTACATTATCTTTGCATCGATACACATGAAACATCCGAACTTTAATTTACAACCCAATCAAGAGACCAAAACCAGAACGAATTTCTTACTTTAAATCAGAAAAACCAAATTCCACCGAATAAACAGCGACATTCAGACCAAACCCAAAAAACAACTTTATCGAACACCCAAAAATTGAATTACACCAACAAAATCCAACTCTTTGCACTTCCATTTTCACTTTTTGCATGATTACCGACTCGATCCAACCTCTCGTACTTGAAATCTCTATTCCCCTGTAATTTCGTTTATTCCATTCTCAACATTCTCCAGTACGATTAAGCAAAGAAACCATCACGACGCCGACTCTTCGGTTATTGCTAGTGATTTGTTAACGGCTCAAGTATCTGATGGAAGGTAATTTGAACGTTTTTAACACGAAAAAACTTTATGCTAATCGAATCTGCTCAAGCGAAGAAACTCATTGCTGTTTTGTCACAAGAGAAACGGAGGGAAATACAGAAACTTAAAACGATCTACATTTCATAGTAACGTCGATTAGTTTTGCGTTACTGTGAGTGCGCTTCGGAAAAAAAAGAAAAAACAATCTCGACCCACATCTATTTTTAAATTAGTTTCTTTGTTGCGGGATCAATATATTTGTTTATTTTGACACATCCGGGGTACCGTTAATCCAGTTTTTGTTTGAACAGAGTTGATTTGCTTATCATCGCTCGTAATGCGAACGAGTAGACATGTCAGGGATTAAATTCGTAAATGCATATAGGTGGCCAATTCCACCACGAAACGTCCGATTCGAGAGGTACAAAATCGCGATTAAACTTCAACAAAGCGCCTCCTTCCAGGTACTTACGGCGCGTTATTTTTTCTATTTACGGGCAACAAATAGGAATGTTATTAACTCTCACGATTATGTACCACCTTGTCAATGACCGTAATTTTTCCGTTAGCGAACGAGTTGTTCGGCGCAAGAATCGGCGCCTGCTCCATCTTGGAAAAGATGTTGAGTCGAGCACGTCTATGCAAATTAATGTCAAGCGCTACTACGTTCAGCCAACATTCGAGTTCGACAGCCTCGCGACAAAACAAATAGTTTACAATCGACTCGCGATTAATTTACTTTTGTGCATCGACCTCTACGCCGCCGCGATTCCCAGATTTGACACCTCCATTACGGGCCGGCTCCACCTACGCGCCTCGACCTCGCCTCAACCGGATACAAATTAGCCCCAAATATCGCCGATTAAGATGGCTGCACGCGTTGCGCAACTTTTTCTTTATGGAATTACGAAAGAGAAAAATCGCTGTTGGATTTAAAATGGCAATCTCTCATCTATTCCACGGCGCGGATGGATAATTATAAACATGATTAATGGTATTCAAATCGTAAATAGCTACATGATATTCGTTCAACTTCATAATAAGCTCGGAACGGATTAATTCCAATAAGAAGAGAAAGTCGACCGCTACCAGATCCACATAATCACTCCTAATACTACAACTAAATCATGTACGGACTCGAACAAGTCCCATCTTAAAGATGCATTTTATTACAATATTATTCATAGGATCTTGACTATTCGTTACAATTTACGTAATGATTTAAGAAGCCATTTCCACTGCCTAGCGTAATAACTGGTTGCTGAAGCTAATAACACGATCGGGAATATTAAAACTAAATGAAAAACGGGCCGCAACATCATTCTTCAACTAGTACCGATATTTATACGGATTATAATGTATAGCCATTAAAACGACCCGAAGTTCGACACATTCGACACAAAACGTTGATGATAATCTCATTTTACCACACTGACAAAATATATAACTGAATAAATATTTTTTAATATTGGAAGATTTACGCTGACGTAATTTAATAAATAGCCTGATCTAGAAACGAGATTGTTTACATGAAAAAACTGGAAATGATAATCACCGACTTTTAATTCATTCAATTACTACCCATTAAGATTTTTTTTATATTTAATAAAAGCAATAATTGTAATTAACATAGAGAACACTTGACATACTGGGTCGAGCTCCCAGAACGAGCTAGCTGTTACGCAAATACACACTTTACCACACTAATTCGATAATTCCCGAACGCAGCAAATCGCGATAAGACACAATATAACAGTCGCTTTTATTTTTATTCCGTACCTCCGTTTTCCAATTAGAATTAACCAACTTGCTTGCACAATAGTTCGGTTCCACAATAGAACCATACCGACCATAATGAACAATGATGGGAAACTCGGCATGTGAATAACATGAATTTACACGAATAGTAATAACAATATTTACGGATCGGATGTACAAACAAGGGCGCTATTCTCAGATGTACTTTCGTCTGATGAACTATCACTTGGACAACTCGTGCGTTAAGTTTTCCTGATTCTGCAAATTTATTGTTGCCATTATTACTGCATTAACTCGGAGTTTTTACACGTTTTTATCTTGTTTCCTTCGGCACGTTTCCGACGCAAGTCGTTTCAAGAAACGAACTTAACTCATCGATTTCGATCATTTGTACTCTTCACAGGATGAAGTTTATGTACGAACAAATCACAATTGTGAGATAAATTGAAACTATCTGGTAGGATCTGCGGCGCAATCTCGCCGAGCGATCAACTTCATTTTTAATTAATTAATTTTTATGGGCTTCTTTTTCAGTTCTCATTCAGTTTTAACGACGATAAGTATCTTTAATTTGACGTAAATATTCGTAATTTTCGGCTTGTTTAGTGCCACTAGGCGTTGGTGGTTTCTGCGCAAAGGTCAAACAACTAATATTTTAAGATGTTTGATATCAGATATTCCGTTAAAAATGAAGATTTGCATATTTTCGGCGCTCTCGGGTTATTATTCATGTTTTATGGGTTTCGGCGGCTTGAACTACTCTCAGAAAAAAATGGGTAAGTTTGTTAAGAATCTCCAGCGCACACAAATGGAAAGATTGGTATGACGATGTCGTCAAATTTTTGGTAGCGAAGATCAGACAAAATTTAATTAAAATATTGTTGAAATACATAGAAAATTGCACGGCAATCGGTCCAGTAGTTTCATAGAATGTCAGTGACCAATAGACGACAGACAAAGGGAAACGGAGGGAGCACTCTTTCATATTCTAGGAGATATGATGCGTCAAGAGAGCAAAATAAAAATATATCCATCACTCTGCACACTACTCTCGTAAAAAAAATAGGAAGCTACATGGCACAAAAACGAACAAATTGATCGGTAGTTATTTAGACGGAACTTCCCTTGGTGTTCAAGCACAACCGATTTAAAAGACGAGTTTCTTAAAAAATGAGTTTTACCCACGCCGATTTTTAATCACCGATCAACGTAACAATATTCTCAAAATACTTCTGACAGACACAGAGACTGAAACGGAGGACCTACTCTCTCATATTGTATGATACGTCAAGAAAAATTACCAGAAGTTTCGGTGATACTCTTTCAAATATTGTAAAAGCAATCAGGCATCAAAAATACGCAAAAATTAGTAACATGATAAATCATTCAAAAAAACGTGTCTTTAAAAATTTGGTGGTATTTAAGAAGATTTTCAAACCGAATTTTTCGAAAATCTTGGTCCCAGAATTTTTTCAGGATTTTTAAGCAACTTTTCAAAAATCGAAATTCTTCAATGTGAATTTTTAATAATTTTTCGAGACTTCAAGATTTAAAAAAATCATTTTCAAACCAAATTCTTCGAAAATCTTGGTCTAAACGCTTAACGATTTATATTTTCCGAATTTTCTAGATTCTTTTAAAGATTTTACACAACTTTTCAAAAACCTTTGCAACTTTCAAAAATTTCTATTACTTATTCAATTAGAATTCCTGATCGTCATTCGAAAACTCAAGATATTTAAAAAAAAATCGTTTTCAAACCACTTTTTAGAAAATTTTGGTTTGATGTCATTAACATCTTGTTTTTTCTGAATCAGCTTGTCGAAGTCTCTCTCAGACTTATTTAAGATTTTAAGATAAAACTTTGATTTTTTAATAGCGAATTTTTTGGCTATTTTTTGTGATTTTGAGATATCAAAAAAATCATTTTTGAATTGAATTTTTCGAAAATCTTGGTCCCAGAATTTTTTCGGGATTTTTAACCAACTTTTCAAAAATCGTAATTCTTCAATATGAATTTTTAATAATTTTTCGAGACTTCAAGATTAAAAAAAAATCATTTTCAAACAAAGTTCTTCGAAAATCTTGGTCTAAACGCTTAACGCTTTATATTTTCCGAATTTTCTAGATTTTTTTTTTAAGATTTTTATACAACTTTTCAAAAACTTTTGTAACTTTCTAAAATCTCTATTATTCAATTAGAATTCCTGATCGTCATTCGAAACCTCAGGATAATTAAAAAAAAATCGTTTTCAAACCACTTTTTAGAAAATTTTGGTTTGATGTCATTAACATCTTGTATTTTCTGAATCAGCTTGTCGAAGTCTATCTCTCAGACTTATTTAAGATTTTAAGATAAACTTTGATTTTTTAATAGCGAATTTTTTGGCTATTTTTTGCGATTTTGAGATATCAAAAAAATCATTTTTGAATTGAATTTTTCGAAAATCTTGGTCCCAGAATTTTTTCAGAATTTTTAAGCAACTTTTCAAAAATCGTAATTCTTCAATATGAATTTTTAATAATTTTTCGAGACTTCAAGATTAAAAAAAATCATTTTCAAACAAAGTTCTTCGAAAATCTTGGTCTAAACGCTTAACGCTTTATATTTTCCGAATTTTCTAGATTTTTTTTAAAGATTTTTACACAAGTTTTCAAAAACCTTTGCAACTTTCAAAATTTTCTATTATTCAATTAGAATTCCTGATCGTCATTCGAAACCTCAAGATGTTTAAAAAAAATCGTTTTCAAACCACTTTTTAGAAAATTTTGGTTTGATGTCATTAACATCTTGTTTTTTCTGAATCAGCTTCTCGAAGTCTATCTTTCAGACTTTTTTAAGATTTTAAGATAACTTTTCAAAAACTTTGATTTTTTAATAGCGATTTTTTTGGCCATTTTTTGCGATTTTGAGATATCAAAAAATCATTTTTGAATCGAATTTTTCGAAAATCTTGGTCCCAGAATTTTTTCGGGATTTTTAACCAATTTTTCAATAATCGCAATTTTTCAATCGAATTTTTAATAGTTTTTCGAGACTTCAAGATTAAAAAAAAAAACATTTTCAAACAAAGTTCTTCGAAAATCTTGGTCTAGTGTCATTAACGCTTTATATTTTCCGAATTTTCTAGAATTTTTTGATGATTTTTACACAACTTTTCAAAAACCTTTTTGGTCGTTTTATGCAATTTCAAGATATCAAAAAATCATTTTCGAAACGAATTTTTCAAAAATCTTAGTCATAGAATTTTTTCAGGATTTTTAAGCACCTTTTCAAAAATCGCAATTTTCGAGACTTCAAGATAAAAAAAAAACATTTTCAAAACAAGTTCTTCGAAAATCTTGGTGTAGTGTCATTAACGCTTTATATTTTCCGAATGAACATATCGAGGTCGGTTTTGTAGAATTTTTTTAAGATTTTTACACAACTTTTCAAAAACCTTTGAATTTTATTATGGATTTTTTGACCGTTTTTTGAGAATTCGACGTATCATTTACGAGTCGAGTTTTTGAAAAATTTTGATCCAGGACCGGTAAACACTGTGCAACTTTCAAAAATCTCGATTATTCAATTAGAATTCTTGATCGTCATTCGAAACCTCAAATTTTGGTTCGATGTCAGCATCCCTATGTGACACTGGGGAATTAAAAAAGCAAAAAAATCCATTACTCCGCACGGAAATGTACAATAAATTCCAAACGACAAAACCTCCACGATTTCCTGTTCGAGCACGTCAACCCATCATCAAATGGCCATTTCCCGCCCAAACCCCATCTCGTCCCAACCTCCACAATCTGATTCAAGAAATCACGACTCCCGCTTTCACCTTCGATAAAATTTCCGAGTGAAACGTCCATAAATTAACCACCGTCGAGCGAAATTGCTCGGTACGCCACTGCCATCACTTTTTTTTCTTAAATTAACATCAACAGCTTATCGGAATCTAGCTTGAGCAAATAATACATTGATTTATTTTAGATTCATGCCCACAACAGCGCAACGAATTTTAATACGTGACCAGGTCAATGATCCGACATCTTTGCAATAGCAGCTTATGTTTTTGTTAGCCATTGAAAAAAAAAACTGTAACATCGTGTTCGGCGGATTTTTGCGCGGAAAAAGCGTCACTTACCTTGCTCACACTCGTCTATGTCTTCGGAACAATCGATGCCCTTGTATCCCGAGGCGCAACTGCAGGTGTACGATCCATTGATGGGACTTGTATCACATATGGCATCGGCATGGCAAGGATTACTGGTACATGCGTCATCGAGATGGCAAAGGAGGCCTGCAAAACAACGGAACGATCTTTTCTTTTTCTAGAGGAAATTTATGGGATCCATCGCACGTAAGGTACCTAACCCATAAGTATAAATCCAGTGGACGCCGCCATAAATCAAATCGATAGCTCTCTTTCTAATACATCCATTAAATCCCTCAACGTGAACGCTCGTCGGTAAGACTAATTGCCACAATGTGGGTTTGGAATTAATTTAAATTGCACCTTTGGATACAAACAATCATTACGGTGGGTCAACGAGCCAATTACAAACGATGCAGCGGTGGGCCACGGATTGATACGACGCCAAGTAATAAATCGCGAAGCTCCACGTTACATCACAGACTCAAATTTGAATAATTATGTTTCTATTAATTTTTTGTTGCCGTAGAAAAAATCGGTATTCACTCCGTCGAGAAACACTTTGCATATTGTTGTATTAAATTCACTATTAATATGCACACTTTCATATATCATGATTTGTTTCCACGGAGATGTTCATAAATAAATTAATTTTGTAATTAGATTCCACATATAGAAGCGGAATCTAGAGATAGAAGCTAGATCTGAGCGTCAAAAGTGACTAACTACACTACTCTGATCTGCTTGTGCTAACCTACTTAAACACGATCATACTGTTCAACTAATTCTTAACCAATCACGCACCTGTTTTTCCTGGTGTGCAGCGGCAGTAGAAGCTCCCAACCCTGTCGATACACGTGGCGCCGTTAAAACAAGCGGCGCCGGCGCAGTCGTCGATGTTAACGGAGCAGTCGGCGCCGGTCCATCCGTTAACACAGATGCACGAGAAGCCGCCGACGCTATTGGTGCAGGTGGCACCGTTCTGGCACACTGAAGGTCGTAAAGAACACTCGTCCACGTCTTGGGTGCAATATCGACCCGTGTAGGTTGGAGGACATTGGCATGTGTACGAGTTTATGCCGTCTATGCACGTACCGCCGTTACGACATTGATGGCCTGGGCAGTCGTCGATGTTTTCTTCGCAGTTGGTGCCGCGGAAACCTGGAAGGAAAAAGAGTTGTTCAAATGCGTCTCGAGTTTTTTTTTAGTGGATGCCCTCGTCGTTGGCGAACCGCGTTATATAGCAGCGTTTCGTTTTTCGAGATTCGATCGCCGCCGCGTTCATGGGAGTACCTTTCAAATGGCAACATCTCGCCGCAAAAATAAGTACCTCGACTCGTTGCGAATGCCTCGAAAAAGTGATCGGGGTCAAACGGTTACTCAATAACCGTATACGAAGCGTGCTATCCCCGGGTGGTTCCCGCACAATACAACATCACAACTCAGGCATTCCTTCGTTATTGATGGGTTTAGCGATATTCATAATTCTGTGGAGAGGCGGCGGGAACGTGGATTTGAGGCGTGCGAGAGTGATAAGGCGACGTCGGCCGAATGTGCAAGAAAGTAGCTAAGAGTTAATTTCGTACGATTTACGAGCCGAATAAATCTGTCAATGCACTAAATCACGGATAGGTGCTTTCATAAATTTACCTTGGATTGGGTGGTTTGTTATGGTTTGGAAGTGTCGACGAAGTTTTACGATGGGAACATGTGTGGGAGCGGTTTTGAGATAGCGAAGAACTGAAACACAAATAAATTTTCAAGCGGAGCAATAAAATCGATGGCTCCGTAACCGAGTGAAACGACTGATATTTCCGGGTGGTCGGGTTGATTTTTTTTCTATTTTATTAAACATACCTACGTTATTTATTTATTTTTTGTTTTTTTTTACAAGATATTCCTGGAGTCTCACATGGGCGGCATCTTGGCCACTCGTTGCTTTCAGATTTCTTCAACGATTTTACCCCGTTTTAAAAAATCATTTTCGCTCATAAACATCAAATTACTTTTACTTCCTGAGCGTAAACTAGCCACAATTTGGCAAACATCTCCACCATCAATAGGATGACGTCATCTCCAAAATTTACATTAGTAAATATTATGATGTTTCAATTTTATGATTTTCTAAATTTTCTCTTTTAATACTATTCGATTTTTCAAGTTTTAAATTTTTCAGTTTAATTCTATTTTACAATTTTTCATTTTCAAAGGTATCCGATTTTCCAATTTTTGATTTTTAATTTTTCAAAATTTCGATTTCCAGCTGTCCAAGTTTCTGAATTTTCAATTTCATAATTTTTTCCTTTTTCAAGGTTGTAATTTTTCTATTTTACTATTGTCTGATTTTTCATTTTTAAAATTATACGCTTTCTCAGACTTGTAGATAATTTTGCATTTTTTTTTATTTCTCAGTTTTACATTTTTAACTACAATTTTTCCATTTCCCAATTGTCCAGTTCTCAACGAATCAGTTTTTCAATTTTTGATTTTTCAATTTTTTGGTTTTGGAATACTACGATTCTTCATTTTTCAATTAATTAATATTTAATACATTTTCAAGCATACAATATTTCAAGTTTTTGATTTTTCAGTTTAATTACTTCACAATTTTTCGTTTTTAAAGGTTATCGGATTTTCAATTTTTCGATTTTACATTATTTTGATGTTTCCACTTTACGTTTTAACAATTTTTGGATGTCTCAATTATTTGGGCTTTAATTAATCAATTTCATTTAAAAAAAATCCATTTTCTATCGTTCAATTTTTGATTTTTCAATTCAATAATTTCGCAATTTTTTGATTTTTAAATTTTGTAATTTTTCTATTTTACAATTATTATCTGAGTTTTCAATTTTGAAAATTAATTCGATTTTCAATGTTATCTGTTTTTGAAATTTTTCAATTTTACAGTTTAATTTTACAATTTTACAGTTTTTCAATATCCCAATTTTTTTATTTTTCAGTTTTATATATATTTTTACAATTTGTTGGTTTCTCAATGTTCGGTGTTTCATTAGAATGAGTTTTCAATTATCCAAACTTCATTATTTTGATTTTCCAATTTTTCGATTTTTCAGTTTTACAGTTTTGCAATTTTCTGATCTTAAAATTATTCTATTTCCAATTTTACATTTATGCAATTTATCAGTTCAAGAGTTTATTTAATAATTTCTCCATTTTACAATTATCCGAATATCATTGACTATTTTCAATTTTTTTATTTTTCAGTTTTATATTTTTAATTTTTTATCCACAATTGTTCGATTTCCCAATTGTCCAGTTCTTAACGAATCAGTTGTTCAATTTTTCATTTTTCAATTGTTTAATAAATTTTCAAGCATACAATATTTCAAGTTTTTGATTTTTCAGTTTAACTACTTCACAATTTTTCGTTTTTAAAGGTTAGCAGATTTTCAATTTTTCGATTTTACATTATTTTGATGTTTCCACTTTACGTTTTAACAATTTTTGGATGTCTCAATTATTTGGGCTTTAATTAATCAATTTGATTTAAAAAAAATTCCATTTTCTATCGTTCAATTTTTGATTTTTCAATTCAATAATTTCGCAATTTTTTGATTTTTAAATTTTGTAATTTTTCTATTTTACAATTATCTGAGTTTCCAATTTTGAAAATTAATCGATTTTCAATTTTATCTGTTTTTGAAATTTTTCAATTTTACAGTTTAATTTTACAATTTTACAGTTTTTCAATTTTGTAATATGGCATTTTTTTTATTTTTCAGTTTTATATGTATTTTTCCAATTTGTCGGTTTCTCAATGTTCGGTGTTTAATTAGAATGAGTTTTCAATTATCCAAACTTGACTATTTCGATTTTCCAATTTTTCGATTTTTTTATTTTTCAATTTTACAGTTTTGCAATTTTCTGATTTCAAAATTAATCTATTTCCAATTTTACATTTATGCAATTTTGCAGTTCAAGAGTTTATGTAATAATTTTTCCATTTTACAGTTGTCCGAATATCATTGTCGATTTTCAATTTTTTAGTTTTTGATTTTTCAGTTTCATAGTTTTGCAACTTTATAATTTTTCTATTTTATAATTATGTATATGATTTTTCAATTTTTCGATTTTAAAGTAATTCTATTTTCAATTTTATATTTATGTATATAATTTTCAGTTTCACAATTTACTAATAATTTTTCGATTTTACAATTATCCAATTTTTCAATTTTGTAATTTTGCAATCTTTTGACTTTTCCGTTTTATATTTTTACATTTTTTCGATTTCTTAATTATACGGGTTTCAATTCCCAATTTTTGATTTTTCAATTATCAGATTTTCCAATTTTTCGGTTTTTGATTTTTCAATTCTTCGATAATTCATCAAAATCATCTCAAAATTTTTAAATTATTTCAGTTTCCAACACAAAAAAATTGGTCTAAAGAGTTTAGACAGTACTTCCCTCGCTGTCGCAAACTTGACGACTACATGCCTATTGTGTTTTTTTTCTCATTACATTTTTGTAGTGGGAATTTAAAAAAAAATTGCGATGACGTCATCAATATTTTTGCAAGGACACGTATATCAGTTGGGATAGATGTAGTGTAATAGTAAGAATAAAATTATTATATTCTCAAATTTTCGGGAAAATGAATTGGGTCGTTTTGAATATTGATTTGTAATAATCAATAAAATAACGAAACAATTTACTCACGTATACGTATCAGAGGCAACTGAAAATCGTGTATGTATAAACATTCTTAATTTAAGATGACAGGCGTAACAGCATACGTGAGAGTCAAACAGAGAAACTGTAAACAAAACGACCATCGGTTTTATTGCTTCGACTTCCGCTTATTATATAAAACATTTGGGTTTTATTTTAATTCTTGACGGTAAAATTCACAATTGGTTGATTATAAACATGTCTATTTCACATTCGCGGAACCAAGTGAGCGCATAAAACAAATGCAGGTCTGTAATGTTAAAGTCGATGTAAATAAGCGTGCTACCCTTATGTTTCAACCGAGTTTTTCCTTTAACAAATTTTGTGTCTACCAAATTGGGTTGGTTGGGGTGTAATACTAATAATAAGTGTTGCCTTTAATTTAATCAATAAAATAAATTGACTTCATTAATTTTTTTGAACCACCTCTTAAGAAAATCTAAAAAATATGAATGGAATGATAAATCACAAGTACAAACTCATCATATTTTTTGCATTTTAGATAGGATTTATTCAGCAAAATTTAAGGGTGACGTCATCAATTTTTTTAGGAGGGATGAACAAATACATTTTGAACAAAAGTTTACCATGCTTATAATAACTTTAAAATATTCCCAAGATTTCAAAGCATTCGGTTTTGTAATTCCTGATTAAATCGATAAAATAAATTCACGCCTTCATTAATTTTTTTGAGTCACCCTGCATATGCAAATCCAAAAATGTGAATGGAATGATAAATTACAAGTACAGACTCATCATATTTTGTACATTTTAGATACGATTTATTCGGCAAACTTTTGGACTGACGTCATCAGTTTTTTGTAGAAGATAACCAAATATATTTTGACTAAAAATTTATTATGCTCTTTATAACCTTAAAACATCTGCAAGATTTCAAAGCATTCGGTTTTGTAGTTCCTGATTAAATCAATAAAATTAATTTACGCATTCATTAATTTTTTTGAGTCACCCTGTATATGCAAATCGAAAAAATTTGAATGGAATGATAAATCACAAGAAGAGACTCACCATATTTTGTACATTTTAGATGGGATTTATTCAGCAAAATTTTGTGGTGACGTCATAAATTTTTTAGGGGGCACGACCAAATACGTTTTGATCAAAAATTTACCATGCTTATGATAATTTTAAAATATCTTTAAGATTTCGAAGCATTCGGTTTTGTAGTTCCTGAGTAAATCAGTAAAATAAATTTACGCTTTCATTTATTTTCTTGAATCACCCTGTATATGCAAATCCAAAAAATATGAATGGAGTGATAGATCACAAGTACAGACTGATCATATTTTGTACATTTTAGATATGATTTATTCTTAATATAAGTACAAAATTTCACAACAATCGGTCGAGTACTTTCGGAGATTATCTGTCTAATAAAAATCCGGGACAACAGACGGACAGACGGACAGACGGACAGACAGACGGAAATGGGAGACCTATTTCTTC